AAAGTGAATTTCTCTCCCAGCTTCCCCTTCCAAAAGGGCCACCCTTAAAGCGCCCCTGGCATTTTACCTCGGGCCTCAGGAGATCCCGTGAGCTGTTCATCCACGCCCCTCACCTGAACTGCCTGTCCCGAAAAGCCCAAGGCCTTGGCAGTGTTGACACCAGAGACTCGTGGATTTCTGCGGTGATTTCTAGGTAGGTTGTAGCTAAAAACCTAAAATGTAACATGGGAAAATGTTGATCATGGTTTATTGTGGTTGATTTGGAAAATGATGATAATGATTTGATAATGGTGTATCATCATTGTTATGTTTGGAAAATGATGATGGGATTTTTTGGGGTACTTGATTTGGGAATCTTGGGAATCCCAATACCAGCAGCACGCATCGTTTTTTCACGCTCTGACAAACATGTGGAAAACATCTGCTGCCCAGCAACATTTTCCACGGGCACCACAACCATCTGCTTGTTCACAACCTAAAGGCAGCTGGCAAGGCCACCATGAAACGAGATCATGGAACCACCTGCAATGCCCCTGGCGACCACTGCAGCGAAGGGGCCCAAGAAGCCATTCTCCACCAGCCTTGTTTGTATTTGGAGTTTCGTGTGTACCTCCGCTCGTTTTTGGAGGATAATTTTTGTCACAATGGAACTATCATTATCCCAAGTAGCATTTATTCCATAATTGGAATATAACGTTAGTTTATTTTGAGTCCCTTAGGCATTGGGGACAGTTCCACAACATTATGAAAATATATAATTCAGATTTTCATATGTAAAATCACCAGGTACTTGGTGGTGAACTGCACCAAGAATCTTCCGATATAAATGTCATGAATGGCGTCCTGTGTGAATTCCTGGAAGGGATTGGCTGGATACCATGCTGCAGATTGCTCTTGGTTATTTTTTGCTAACCCCCGAAAGACCACAATGTGTTTTTACTTGTAGTCTCGAACTATCAGGTTTTTGGGGTGGGGTACCCCAAACCTGATACCCTGGTTCCCACATCAAAATAGTTGGTTGTTGCGATATGTACCTCCCAATTCATTTATGGGATCATCCCAGGTATTTGGTCACTACCGGTGTACCAAGTTTGACTATTTCACATCCCTTCAAAAAAATGCAATTTTCTCACTTTGAAACTTCTGTCCAAGAATGTGCTATACCGGCTATACCCGCAAAACCAATAGCGTCTCATCATTTACGTTAAAATAAACTGGGAACAACAACCCATTTTTGAGGACAATGCACAGTATTGAATGTGAAATCCCTAATGTTGGAAGCTTAAATACCCCAGGAGGAAAGGATACGGCGCACGCGAAAGCTGGGGCCACTTTGTCCACCTCTGCGTCAATGGTCCACATCCTCGGCTTGGGTCTGGATTAAAATTTCCAAACATATCTTCCATAAATCCCAGATATATAGATCTAGAATGATCTAAATAGACAATTCCAAGCATCTATTGATTTCCAAACACATCTAAATCATCCTATCTCCGCGGATCTATGTAGACTGATTTGATTTTGAGACTCTGATTTAGATTTAGATAGCCGATATTCTTGGGAGGTCAGCTCACCCTGGTATCCCAAAATTGGTGTTCGCTGGTATTGGCCATGGTTTTCTTTGAAGGAAATCTGTATGACCATTATCTTATCAACTAGGTCTGGTTTGGGAACCCAAAAGACTATTTTGGACATAGGAAATTGAGATGAATTGAGTTTGGGTGGGAATTCTCCGAGCCAGGCTAGCTGCTTATCTGACTGCTTTCTGCAATGCCAAGGAACTTCTGAGCAGCGCGGTAGTACAGGAAGAACTGTCCACTCCCTGCAAGAAGCAACCGACATAGGACGATTGTTCACACCAGAAACCAGCCAAAAATCTGCCGGCCCCAGTCTTTGAATTTTTGATTCCTCCTAGTATTTGACTCTTGTCACCACTTTTAGAGGTTCCAGCCCAACTGTTGATTTGGTCTTTAGCGGTTTCCCATCTCCGACCAAGCGCGCCTTTCTCCGAGCAGTCGTAGCGCGCAAAGACTGGATGGCCATCACTGGAGAAGGGCTGCAGCCGCCAGCGTCCGCAAAAACGATCCTCGAGAAGGGCGCTGTTCGAGGTGTCCAAAAGCCATGGGAAAGGATTGGAAAGGGGCCCCAACTGGGGGAAATCATGGGGAAAATCCATTATACATGGAGGTTTTCATGGGAAAATCATCAAACTAAATGGGATTTATAACCTCCATAAGATGGCTATAACTATGATAATAAGGGAATGGTGTTGATAAATGATGGTTCCCCCTTTTTTGGGAAACCCCAAACTGGCGACAGTAAGATTTCTACAGCGGCTATAATATATAGCATGTTTTTTTGGGAATCTCCAAACAAATTGTGGGATGTGACCAGTGAACATGGCGGATTGAAGTTCAAAGGAACGAGAATGGGTGTGCAGATTTATAAATGACAAGGAATAAGGGAGTGGTGACATGTCAGCAATCATGAATGAATCAAGAATGGAAAAATAGCCAAATATTTAGCCAAAATAAGAGTTGAGATTACAAGTCAAAAGGGGTACAGTAGATGAATCAATGCAACATGCAATTTGGCAGTTTCGGAGAGTTTCGCCTCCAAAAGTCATGGGGCACCCACCCCACTGGTACCCCCAAAGGTTATAAGCTCAATAAGCCCAGCCCTTTGTGTTCGCGTGGCCTGACTGGCGGAAGCTTCAGAACAAATTATATGCCCTTATATAACGAATAAATATAGACAATAATACAATATTGCTATGATGGTATACTGTATAGTATGCGTCTATATTGGTATTGTTTTATTTGTCATAATCATTGGTATTGAATGGTATTGGTATATAACAATACAATATCATTACAATACCAATATAGACCAACTAGATCCGGCGCATTCCCAACGGTCTCCTGGTGAAAGTTTAGCAGATCCGCTGCCACCACGGAAGTCGGATCCACCTCGCTACGGGCACGTCGTTCATCTGGGGGTCATGGACATCCATCCAACCTGGATGGCTTCATATAGGGTTTTTTCCATAGTCATGACAACACCCCAATAGCTGGATGGTTTATTTCATGAAAAAATATCCGATATCCAAAACCAATCTAGAAATGGCTTTGGGGGTGCCCCTACTCTAGAAAACCTCCATATGCATTGCATTGGCCCCCACATGATATGTCCCTGCCGGCGTGGATCTCACTTCTTCCAAGTCCCAACATTCACCTGTCCTGTGGCACCACAAGTTTTGCAACCATCAATCAAGGTCAGACAACGACTGATAATCATGACAAATATAATATTATCTATAATATGTATGTAATATATATATATACGTCATAATATTGCTTAGATCATTGGTCAAATTATATTGAATCCCTTTTCCCAAACCCTTTGCCGCTGATTTACCACTGTTTGCTCTTTTTGTCAACCTGTGTTTGCGCAACAACCCCAGCTTTGCAGGTGAACTACCCGTCATTACCATATTGTTGGTGTACAACTGGTACTTCCAGCCGTCAACTGTGGATGGTTGAGAATCCTGCACCAGTTGATGGGCCAAAACCCATGATAATCCCATGATTTACAGTGTTTCATAGTTGCCTAATGGATACCCATTGGTTCCTCAGTTCCCAACTGCTGCAGGATTTCGCAACCAGCCGTAGCATGGCCGTTTTTTTCACAGCGGCGCCTCGTTGTTCTTGGTCTGCCGCGTCGCGAAGTCGCGCGCGGTGCGGAGGATAAACGCTATGAGTTCACCTGCATTTTGATGGGGATCAATGGTCATTCAATCATTCAACCATCAAAAAAGTTGGGATTTAACTGATTGAACCATGAAAAATGTGGATTTTACTGGCGATTCAAGCAAAAATGGAAGCATCTTTGAAGAGTGATGAATGATCGTTCTTTGCGGAATGCTGGGAATCTGATTGCATGTCAGAAGTATAAACCGGGGCCAAGAGGCTTAAGCGGAAGGACTATTGTCACTTTGTGGTGCCTCAACACATCATGTTTCACGTTGAGTTGTTTCATCTGGTTCATCTCCAAGCCCCAAAAAGGGCTTTCCCAACTCCGCCAAAAATAAAACGCCTTTGAAGATGGGGCAGTCTTGCGGCTGCACTTCTGAGAGCGGCTTCTCTTCCGGAACACCCTCCTCATGGGCCGAGAGGGCCGTACAGTTCACCTTCTGTCACCCCATTTCGATCGTTTGATCTTGTCTCAAAATGTGGAAAAAAAAACTCCATCCCATGGTTGTTCAACAATCATATGAAAATTACCATTCATTTATCCATCTTCCCCACTTGTAAGACATGATCTGAAAGATGGGTCAACAAATGGATGGTTTCATTTCTACTAAACATGACCCATTTCATGCTGAAGCTCCTCGGGCACGCAGGCCTGGTTGGCAACTGACTCGGCATGATGGACCTGCGAATCGGAAGTGGGTCCGGCACATCGAAGTAGGGGTGAAAAGATATGGAGAGGTTTTCATGTGAACCAGTGTTTGATCCATGATTAGCAGTGTCTTGTTAATTTCGTTGATGATTTGTCCGAATCATTTGGTGTTATAAGTCGCACAGAACCATATTTGCTGGAGCATTTTGGATGGTTTGGTCGATCTCCCATTGTTCTTCATTGTTGTGGTCTCCACATGAAGTTGGGGAAAATCGGCATCAAATTTTGGGGCTTCACATCTTTTTGGTCTCCAAAGTGAAAAAAAACAAAGCCGTGGGGAACACACGTTCAGGGACACGGTGAGAAAGACTTTGCCAGGCGATGGTCTGGGTCAGAGGTCTTTCAAAACATTTCAACCGTAGATTTTTTATATCGCTCATATTATTTTATCATATTTTGAGTCACCGTCTCTGATGTTTAAAAATCATTTATATAAAATAAGAATCCGCTGTTGAGCCATCATTGTACACGGCATTAAAAACATGCAAACTCATTCAAACGTATGCCGTCATTGATTGCGCTAAAAGCGAGTCCAAACCTTTTTGTTTCTGTCGGCTGATCTTGAGAGGGTACCTCCTGTGCGAGGCTCATTGCTAAGCAACGCAAATCACTAACAGCTCTCCAACATCACCAGAATGTGTTGTCAGCCCCGACCTGCTTCCAAATGTCAACCTTTGAAGGCCGCTGGGCAGAGGTGTGCGTCGGAGCTTGTGCAAGAACTCAATACCTAGGGTCAAGCTTTCCAGAGTGCTTGGGAAGTTCACACGGTCCAGGCTCTTTCTGTACCCCAGACCGAAACCCAGCTTTCGGAGACTGCTGGGCAAAGTCACAGTGTGCAGGGGTCGGTTGAATGCAAGACCAAATATCAAGCTTTCCAGAGTGTCTGGCAACCTCACACGGTCCAGGTTTCGATTGAATTCACGACCAAAAGTCAAGGTTCTGAGATTGCTTGGCAAGGTCACACGATCCAGGCTTTGGTCGAAGTCTGTGCCAAACTCCAAGGTGTCCAGAGTGTCTGGCAAGGTCACATCCGCCAGGCTTTGGTTGAAGCGGCTACCGAAAGTCAAGTTCTGAAGGCTTCTTGGCAAAGTTGTGCGATCCAATGGTTGGTTGAAGTAATCACCAAATGTCAAGCTTTGAAGACAACTCGGCAAATCCACATTCTCCAGGCTATGATTAAAATCGCGGCCAAACGTCAACGATTTGAGGCTGGGCCAGTTTATGTCTTGCAGGCGCTGATTGAACAGCAGACCAAACGACAAAGTTTCAAGGCTACGTGGTAAGGTCACCCCTTGAAGCGGCTGGTTGAATTGTTCACTCAGACTCATCTTTTTGATGCTGTTCGGGAAGATCCGATCTTGCAGGCCCTGGTTGAACTCCCGGCCAATGGAAAGGCGTTGAAGACCATCTGGAAGACTCAAAGATCTTGGAATCTCCTCATTGAACCTGCAACCAAGAGTCAGACTCTCAAGGCTTGCTGGCCAAGAAATTTTGTCCAGCCCATGGTTGTTGCCAAGGGTCAACGCTTTGATGCTGCTTGGAAAAACAACATGTTCCAGGCTTTGGTCAAACTCCCCGCCCAGTGTCAAGGTTTGAAGACTGCTTGGCAGGACGACGCCCTCCAAGCTCTGGTTGAACTTCTCACCAAGAGCCAAGTCTTGAAGGCTGTCGGGCAAGGTCACATGCTCGAGGCTCTGGTTAAACCAGGCACCGCACACCAATTTTTGAAGATTGCTGGGTAAGGACACGTGGTCCAAGCACTGGTTGAACCCAACACCGAAAATCAAGCTTTGCAAACTGCATGGTAAGTTCACATGCTCCAGACTTTGGTTGAAGAAAGCACCAAAGCACAATTTGTGCAGACTAGTGGGCAAATTCACGCCTTGCAGAGTTTGATTGTACCCAAGACCAAATGTCAAGCTTTCCAGAGTGTTTGGCAACCTCACACGGTCCAGGTTTCGATTGAATTCACGACCAAAAGTCAAGGTTCTGAGATTGCTTGGCAAGGTCACACGATCCAGGCTTTGGTCGAAGTCTGCTCCAAACTCTAAGGTCTCCAGAGTGTCTGGCAAGGCCACATCCGCCAGGTTCTGATTGAATTGAGCACCGAATATTAAGGTTCTAAGACCATTTGGCAAGGATACTCGTTCCAGGCTTTGGTTGAACTTGGCGCCAAAGATCATGTGTTCCAGACTCTGCGGCAAGGTTACCCTGTCCAGGCTTTGACTAAATCGATCATGGAAATCGATCCTTCGAAGTGTTCTTGGCAGGTGGCGCAAATATTCCCCAAACGGTGCGCCGTGGAGCTCGGTGACGCCATCCATGGCAAATTGGTCCTCAGGATTTTCCTCCTCCTGCAAGAAACAGGAGACTGCATACCTTGGATTTGAAGTTTCAATGTCCCGATGTTCCGAGCGCTTCGTTCAAAAAAAAACAGGTCCCATTAGACGCCCCAGACAATTGGTGGATTTTAGCCAACTTGGTGGAATAAAAATCGCCCACTCAATACAGTCTGGGATACAAATTGGTTGGCACGTAAGTACAGGACAACGTTGCAGGGCCTGTGCATTGATCTTGAATGGGAACGTGGAGCATCAGTCTTGTAGACCCCAGATGCATGGAAAGCCTGGCACCCGGTTTGCATGGAAGCTGCTCTGAAACGATCTTGTGAACATCCCGGCCAAGGGTAGAACCAGGAATCTTGAAAGTCAATCCCTCACCAGTCAAGCACAGCACCTGAAGAACCATCAGGGCCTCTTCTTGGGAGGGAGCTATATATCCAGCAAACATGGTAGACATCACATCTTTTGAGCTCTTTGGCTCATTTGGCCCGCTACGACTTGAGCCACCATGGCTCTACAGACTCCTGCCCATGGTGAAGAAATCTGGCCACTGAAATATGACGACTGGTCAGTGTATTTCACTTTGGGGGGTTGAGTCATTTTGAGCCTTTCCCCCACCACTGAGGCGGCCAAAGGTATGAACAAAGCGTCAACAAGTTCATTGTCAATCGTCCAGACATCTAGCATTGTAAGTGGAAACCAAGTCAATCCACTTGCTCGCAGTGGTGTTTACTGGAGCCAGCAGTTGACAAAATCTTCCGGCGTATTACAGCTTGTAGAAATCCAAAAGTTGCTTCTCCATCCTTCTGAATCATCACAATTCTCATCTCCTGAAGCTTGCAGCAGTTCAAGCTTCAAAACAGGTGCCTCCTTCAACTGCCAATAGAGGACGTCCACAAATGCCCACAGGTTCCACAGCGATGGCCGCAGAGACAGCTTTGCGGCATCCACCAACCTAGTCCACCGATGTTTCCCCCATTTGGGGGGCCCCAAGAATGAACAAATCCGATATGCAGCCGAGGTTTCTGGGTGTTGACTTGATATCTTGAGATAGGCACCCTCTTGCTATCTAATTAAGTTGGCAATGGGAGTATCCGCCCATTGGAAGACAATAAAAATGGCGATCCTCCATTGCCATGTTTGCTTGCCAGAAGGTAGATACAGAATTGAACCGTCTAATTATCCGTCCATATGTTTTTCGGGATTGTTTCTCCAAATTTCATCATTGTTTTCTCATGTTTCTCTATAGTGTGAACATTTACACTTGCCACAGAGCTTGCGTTACTCAAATGAATTACACGCAAGTACAGCGGCATGCCATAGACCTGAACTCTGACGTGCCAGGGTTGAACCCGCAGGGAATGATAATAAAGGTAAACATCCTCATCATTCATGTAATCTGAATATTTTTAAATTACAGCTTTCAAAAAGACGATGTTTTCAGAATTTGTGTGGGATCCCTATAACTCCTTGCAGCACCACATGTTGTGATGGAAATCCACCCCCACCATGTCTAGCAGCAGTTCGTAGCAGGTCTCTCCATCCATCTCCGAAAGCTGCTGCGATGGGAAGTGGAGCGGAAAGGCTCCCTTCAAGCGCTTCAACACCGCCTGAGTCGGCGACTGGGATTTGGCTTGGAGGAAAAAATGTCATCGGAACTTCGATGATGGTTGCTGCAATCAACTTGAAGAATGGTGGCTTAAGGCTGGAGTCACCTATTAATATAGGAAAATCACCACTCGCCGATGGTGAACAGAATGGCCACCTGAAATGGAAAGCTGGACACCAATCCATAACGATTAGCAAGGCACCAGAGCTCCGCAAACGTACTGGAGACGTTGATAGGCGTTGGCCCTCTGCTGATCTTTCACCCCATCATGCCTTGCCAGGGGATGCACAGAACTGTCTATCAGCACATATCTCCATTGAAAATTGGCGTCTCCAAAGCCACCGATCTTTGGGTTTCCACCAAGGGCACCTCAAAGTTCATGTGTCCCATCCATGTTTGCTAGTTGAACCATGGTTCTTTCACTTATATCCATCATGTTCAGATTAACTCATATTATATTATTGGCTACATATTCCATAAGAGTTATCCCTTTAAATGGTTGGTTGACCATATCATTACACCCCAATTCTTGACAGCGTTATATATATATGTATATATATATATATACATATGTATATATATATATACATATGTATATATACATATATATACATATATATACATATATATACATATATATACATATATATACATATATATATACATATATATATACACATATATATACATATATATATAATACATATATATATATATAATATATATACATATATATATATATAATATGTATATATATATGCATGCATGGTCATCCTGGAGTAGATAGAATATGGAAATTTCAATATCCTTCCCATTTTAGCGGGGATTGGTTGAAATTTCCGTATTCTATCAATCTACTCCAGGATGACTACATACATAATGTATATATATATATATGTAAATATATATATATATATATATAACAACTTACTGGTGCTTAGTAGCTTACATCAGGAAATGATCCGATCCATTACGATTGTCACAATGATCCCATTACCCCCATTCCTACTGTGGATGGAAGAAATCCTACACCAGTTGATAGGCGGTAAAAATCCCATTGTTGACAGGGTTTCAACCATCCTTTTGGTGCTGGATTTCGCAAACATCCACAGTAAACTATAGTTATATAGTTTTCATTAGGTTTGTTGAATCTGTAGTTACTAAATCTTACTGAGTTAGCTACTATAAAGTTACTAAATTAGTAAACTAAGTTAAGTACTATAAAGTCCCTATTGAAGTTACTATTAAACTAAGTTAGTCAGACCATTCCTTCCGAAAAAGATTTCCCTCGGATCCATCCCTCGACATTCCGCCTGCCCGACGCGAAGGCATCGCCCATGCCGAAGCGCAAGGAGGCCTCGTCCGCACGGAAGCTGCTGGCCTGGCGACGTCACCAGTCGTGTTCTAAAAGAAAACGGTTGGTTGATGATTCCTTGGGGGATTCTACGACCATACTAAGCCATATCACTATTTCTATCTTATGGAAAAAAAGAACATACCAAATCTGAAAAATATCTTAAAATCGATAAATTTAATAAATGTGGCATTAGTAATACTAAAAAGGACCCACTTTTACCGTGGTCCCAGGGGCCTAAAATTGTGACTGCCCAGAAATTTTGATGGGAGATTCATATACCAAAAACTGGAATGTTTTTAGACCTATATGATATGATATGAGATATATCCATATATATACATGATATATAACGTTTTAGTGGCTCAACCAACCCAGCAGCGACACAGCGGTGCAAGCAGGATTTTCCGATCTTGAGCCAAAGTCAAGTTACAGCATAGTTTCATGCTGACCCAACTCTGGATTGAACATGCTCTGTGCTTATGATTGTAAAGGCACATTCGGTTGGTTTGTGACACATTTGGTGTTTGTAGCCGACGGTGCCCAAGGCAACACGCCGGATTTTGAGCATCCGTTTTGGGACCGCTATGGTTAGTGTTTTTTTTATCCGAATTTCTTCTTCTCCCCCTTCTCACACAGTGGCTTGCCAACAGCATGGAAGTGTGGGTGCTCTTGGAAGAAATCACAGCGGTACCACTGACACATTCATCTGTTCAAGTGCTTCCAGCCATTTCGCCACAGGGAGGGGCTTTGTGAATGGATCAGCTCTTTGCAATGCAGTCTTGATATACAGCAACCTGGAAGTTGAGTTGTCCTTGAACCACTCGTGAATGGATCCAACGTTTATCTTGAAAACTTTCTTAAGGTGCCGTAACTTTGGGGAATATCCTGAATCCACAATTTGAATTACAGCAGAGTTATCTTGGAATACCACGAGATCAACTTCTCTTTGCAGCATGCATTCAAGGAACTTTTGCATCGGTATGGCTTCTGAAAACAAACCTGAACCTAGTGAGACCATTTCTGCTTCCGTTGTCGACCTTGCAGTCGACGACTGCTTTTTGCTGGACCATGACAATGGCCAAAATGAATTTGGTCCTTCCAGAGCCATGATGAAACCGCTCGAAGACTTGGTGTCTTCTTGTGACGAACAATGATCAGCATCAGTGTAGGTTGTGAGGAAAAGCTTGTCTGGAGGATCTGCGATCTTGCCTTGAAGTCTGAAATTCTTTGAACCATGGACATAACACATCAGTCTGTGCAGGCGTCGGTCGTCTGCTTTTGCCCAGACAGTCAGTCTACGTGTCAAGTCTGCTATACCTTTCATGAGGTCAGGTCGCGCTAAGCGCGCCGCCCATAAAATCTTCATTAAGATCCTTGAGGCTTGCTGACTCAACTGACCACGTTCTGCCCAATCCAAATCAGTTAGACTTCCTTCTGGTAGATACGGAGATGCAGCCGGTTTCAACTTCCATCCCGTCAATTCCTCATACATTTGACATGCATTCTCAACAAACTCAACCATTTCAAACGAACAAGTTGTTACATTATCCTTTCTAGAAATTTCATGGCCCCTGCCCAACACTCTAGAGACATCCGTAGGAGGATCCAATTCCAAGTGCTCTTGCAGTGCGTTCCAGAAAGGTTCATGTCTTTCTGCTGGTCCTGATACTACAATGTCGTCTACATACAAGCTCAACATCAGTCCGAAACTTGGTAACCAGTAGTTTGATGGAAAACTTGGCAACGGTACTGCACCAAGCTGAGACATTACAGCCTTGAACCTCTCGTTCCAGTGGAATCCACTTTCGGGGTGGCCGTACAAACTTCGCCAAAGCCGGACGCATGGTCTTTTGATGTGCTGGTACTCAGCAGGAACTAACTCAGGAGCTAGTTCTACCCATGTCTCCACCTTAGTTCCGAGGTATGACTGCAAATATGCACGCACTACATCCGATTGGGTGGTCTTGTTCCCAACTAGTGCTCCAAATGCAAGGTTTGCGTTTATAGAGCTCATTCCGGATGGACACACTTTGGAATCTAAAAGTACGGCTAAATTCCCATCATTGTCTCGGATGTTGTCACCACGAAACACAATTCTGGCTTTCAATTTTCGAAGCTCTGGGGATTCGAAGTGTTTAATACTGAGGATTGTCATGATTCTTCCTATGTGAAACGGCTTTTGCCTTTTGACCAGTTCATCTCTTGGTATTACTTCATCGTAAGACCAGGTTCCGTTGGCTAGGATTCCATCTAACTCCTTTTGAATAGCTTCAGTTGCGCCTTCATGCTTGTGCCAATCTTTGCGGTCCAATAGCTTATGAATCCCTGCATAGACCTCTTCCAAAGGTACATCATTTGGTTGATGGCACTGAGGAGTTTCAGCTGGCATAGTTGGCATCAATGGCACTTCCTGAACATACAATGAGTTGCTGATGCACCTACACATCTTCTCGGAGTAAAAGGCTGACTTTGGAGTCTTTGCGCCTTCCAACCTCGAGTGCTGGAACCCTTTTGGATGTTCACATTTGTGTGCATCCAGATTTCGAGCCAATCTATAGGAACTTGTCACTACGCGCCAATGCTTCAAATGAGGAACACCTTGATCATCCTTCATGTCAAGCGCACACCCATCTGGTTCAGCTACAAAGAGGTTGTGTTTTCTGATGAACTTCACCAATTCTGGTAATGCCCAACCACGACTACCACGCGGCCATTCGAAGGCCACATGGCCCCCTTGAGCCAGGATTTGCTCGGCACATCGAATGAAATTCCTGAGAATCTTTCTGGACTTCTTTTGAATCAAAGCTAACTTGCGTCTGTAGGGTTCTCCGTGCTTTGCACAGTTGACATATTGCCATGAACACCACGGGTCACAAGGAATTGAGCCCCACAAATCAGCTCCAGGAAAAAGTTTCATGACTTTCAGTAAATCATTCACTTCTTGATTGTCCGCCATGTTTGACGACTTCTTTGTGAGTCTGACATGATTTATTCCCCGCTCGAGGTTTACCTGTCCTAGCATGGAATCTTCACTGCAGCAGAATTCAAACATTGTGTGAAATTTTTCTGCGCGGGATTTCCTTTCCTTTGGAGGCTTAACTTCCGAAACGCCTGCTGTTGCTTGCAACAGTTCAGCTGTGCTGTCTGGAAAGTCATTTCCAACGGATGCAATGAAGTAATCACTCCTCTTGTCAAACCTTTGGCACGAATGCTCAGCTTTGGAAATGTTGGCTTGGCATGCGAACATCTTCCCCTTCTCTGCTTCAATCTGGCGTGAAGGGTAAAACCAAGTGCAACCGATCCAGCTTTTTGATGAAATTCTTTGGTGTGGGTGGACTTGCCAGTTGTCCCTGTACACGGACGTAGCACCTTTGCACTTCCATTCAGTGAGCCTGTCAGGCAAAATGTCTTTTGCATCGAACGGGCAGTCTTTACCTACTGGTGCATAAAGACGCTTTCTTGGCCTAACGTGAACACATTTCCAAGCTAATTTCGTTGATCATATTCCCAGTGACATAGGTCCCCTGATAGCCCAAGACTTGCGCGGGCGCGGGCCTCCGCGGGCCCCCCGCGGGCCCTCCCCGCGGGCCTTCGCGGGCCCGCGGGCCCGCGCGGGCCCGAGGGTTTTCAGGTCAGCATTTTATCGTCTATATCTTCTTGCATTCTGTCTGGCATCTGTGTCTAGCAAATCTTTTCCGGTATTTATTCTGGCAATCCAACAAATATTTTCAAATATATTCTGGCATAAACTGACATAGTCGGACCCGCGCGTTCTATCTGGCATATCTTTTGGCGTGCTATCTGGCATATGTGTCTATCTGGCATAACTTCTGACAATTCAAGGCTGCCATGCTATGGCATCTCTTTTGGAATTCTTTCTGGCATACGTGGCTATTGTGTCTTCTCACTTTCAGTGTGGCATTCTATCTCACCCAGGCGCTTGTGATCCAGGTCCGGCGGGCACCACTCTGATCCGGGTTTTGCGGTTGAGGTCAGGCGCGGCGAGGAGGACAAGAAGGAGGAGAGGAGTGGCTGACATAGAATCTCACAACCCGGAACATGCAGGTGAAGGGACAACACTAACAAAGTGAAAGAAGCACATGGAAGCACGATACAGGCAGCACAGTCCCTGTCCGCTATGGTGTTTTATTCAATCAAAGGGCATGGTCACGCGGTATGAAGTTCCAAAGATTCAAAAAATGAGTGAACTTAAATCATCTTAACCTCTCCGTGTGGACTGAACCCTTGCCTGTTGCTCCCTCCAAAACTCCAAGTTTCTGTACAATCACAGAAAAGCGATTCATGAGCGCCGTCATGCAAAGTAGAGGTCAGTTCGGGCTCTACAAAATCCCATGGGTCAAATCAGACCTTGCATTCACAAAATCCCAGCCTACGCCTACAACGCCATTTTTTCAGTGCACTTTTGGGTGGGATCCTCACAAATTGATGACCCCAGGATGCTGGCACCGCAAGGTTTGTCCAATTGAACCCATTTGAAAAAACTAATATTTCATAATACTTCTCCAGAGGCTATTTTATAATACTCACTGGTCTCGTTTTAGGTATGGGCGCCTCTAAGAGGCCGTGCTTTTTTGAGGTTTTTGGGGTGGGGTGGGGTGGCAGGTAGTTGCAATAACGTTCATGTCTCTTGTGTGCAAGGTGATGCGGCGTGGATGCTGCGCTGATGTTACGTTGATCATACGTTGATTCTACGTTGAGGAGATGTTGATGCTACTGTGGGGTGGGGTGGGGTGGGGTGGGGGGGTGCAATATCATTCATGTCTCTTGCGTGCAAGTTGATGCGACGTGGATGCTACGTTGATGTTACGTTGATCATACTTTGATGCTACGTTGAGGAGACGTTGATGCTACTGTTGCGGTTGGGTGGGGTGGGGGGTGCAATAACGTTCATGTATCTTGCGTGCAAGGTGATGCGACGTGGATGATACGCTGATGATACATTGATCATGCGCTGTTGATACGTTGATGCTAGGTTGATGGTACGTGGATGATACGTTGACGTTAGGTTGATCATGCGTTGATGATACGTTGATCATGCGCTGTTGATACGTTGACGTTACGTTGATCATGCGTTGATGATACGTTGATCATGCGCTGTGGATACGTTGATGTTACGTTGATCATGCGTTGATGATACGTTGATGATACTTGGCCGCAAAAGCGGCTGAAACAAAGACGTCGGCAACGCAGAAGAAAACGCGTAACGCTGTCTTTTCCAAGCTGATGGCTTTCGTCCCACAAAAACCATTAAAATCACACCGTGACTCTCATTTTTCCATACCCTTCCATGACTTTTGATACACCCACAAAATATAGATATCTGTGAAAAACCGCTCTCGTTGTGGCAAAACCTTGGAACATAATTGAATAGAAACATATCCATGTGCTGAAACACACGGCCTCTTAGAGGCGCCCTTACCTTTTAGGGTCTAGATCCGTGGGGTTTACATCAGCTACCTTTTTCAGCTAAAGTAGGATGTCTCAAAGCAGCCTCAACTGAGACATCTTGAACACTGTCTAAGGTCAACAATGCCATATCGTGCTTCCAAAAATTGCTCAGAATTGCTCGACATGACCCCAACTTGCCCGACAAAAATGCTCAAAATTGTTTGAAATTTGCTCGAAAAGACCCAAGCTGGTCCACAAAAACGGCTCCAAAATGCTCAAAATTCTTCAAATTTGCTCAGAATGTCTCAAAATGTGCGAATGTTTTCATTACTTTCAATGCTGTTGCCGGTCTCTAGTGTTGCACGGGCTTATAAGGTCACGGTGGACTATAGCCCAAGACTAGCGCGGGCCCGATAGCCCAAGACTAGCGCGGGCCTTCGCGGGCCCGCGGGCCTTTGCGGGCCCGCCGCGGGCTTGCCCCGCGGGCCCGCGGGCTTCCGCGGGCCCGGGCACACGGTGGACCATAGCCATTCCCAATAGTCACCTAACTTTTCATTGCTCACATCCTTGCCCCCTTTTGCATCCACTTCCCCCGGTGCCAAGTGGCAACTCGCGAAGAAAGCTTCTGCATCCAGGAACTTTTCCGCTTGAGCTTGAATTGCTGGCGTTTTGGGCGCTGATTCCGAAACTGCCGGAACTGGTGTGTCTGGCGCTGCCAACCCTTTTTCTTTTGCCACCTTTGCCAATTTTTCATTGTGAATCAATTCCCTGAAACGTTCATGGCAAGCATCCGTGTGTGGAACCCCTTCTGAGATCTTTGCACATCCACGACAACCAGGTGTGATCCCGAAGCGAATGGCTCTATCCAAGGTCACATATGTCTTGCGTTTCCTGACTTCAGGTTTAGGTGCACCCTCTTCAAAAGGCAAAGCAATCTTGGGCAATTCACCGCTGCCCCCTTCCAAACTTGCTTTTGCAGCATTGAAAAGTGGGAAAACGAAGGCATCAGGGATCACCAATTCATCAGCATGAACTTGCACCGGACGACCAAAGCCCTTTGCCTTAGTCCTCAAGTTTTCGTAATCCAAAACCAAATGAACCTTTTTGTGTTTATACCCTGAGTCTAGTCTCCATCCCGCAAAGATTCCTGGAACGGTCCTTGCTTCAAAAGCTGGCTTGGAAGTATGTTGAGATGGCTTATAGTACACCAAAGCACCTAGAGGAACTCGAAAACCCTCGAATGGCTCACCATTGTTTGCCGCTTCATAAGCTGTCCAACCCTGTTTCAACCTTTTGGCATCATCAGTTTCGTTCGGATGGATGGCAGCGAGTGTTGTGAAGCTTTTGGCAACGCAAAAATATTCCACGCTTCTCGGCCACGGTTCATGCGGAAAACCAGCTGCTAAATGAATTGCTCTGACCCCTTCTTTTATCCTACGAATGTTGCTTTCGAGCTTGGCGTTGTGAAAAGGGTCATTTGGAATCCCAGGTTCTGGCAACCATCCTAAGTATTTCACCGCCTCAGTCAGCTCTTGCGCACAATCCGACTTCACTGAACACAAGGCCTTGCCGTGTGCCTTAGTTCCACCAAACTTCTGGAGACATGAAATGTTCGAGTCTGTTGCCCTTGACACCTGAGGGAATGCTTGAAAACATCCTGAGTACTCATCGTAACATATCATGCATGACTGTTCACCCTCTGACCCTTTAGTAAGATCACTTCCAAGAATGATGTGGTCCACCCTCAGTTGATGACCGAAATGCAATGGCGGGGTTTCTTCGGGATCAATGTCATGTTTTCTCCTATGGTACCTTGAAGTCATTTTGGCACGCTTGCATATTTCGCAGGTTTTTGATTTTGGGAAATGGGTCAAAAGGTTATGGGGCATGTCAAGTTCCTCAAGATCATCTCCACTTGATTCCTCAACTACCTCATCTCCTTCCTTCTTTTCTGCATCCCCTTTTCCAACAGGCTCTTCAAGGAGATCAAGGATTTCGTTGATATCCCCAGGCTCTGCTTCAGGATCAGCAATTGAAGGTGCATAATCGTCTTCATCATCAACCTTGGACTTTTCCGCTGGCTTTTCATGAGACGATGAAGTTGGCTCAGCTGGCATTGCAACACACTCAACCCTTTCGGAAAGAATGGGAACATTTTCGACGACACGATCAGCATAGATTTTCGCACTTTCAGGACAATGAAACGTCACATCTGACAACCTTTCAGGTTTGATGAAAAATGGCAATTGATTGGGAAACCAAACCCATGCTTTCCCTTGCTCATTGACTTGTTGGCCTAAAGACAGTGCTGCAGGACAATCATGGAGCGTATAGAAAATCCCATCCCCGGAATGTTCACCCCGCAAATGCACGGCTTCGGAACTATTCCGAATACCACCTCCAGTTGAAAACTTTAAGCTCTCAGGAGCGGCATCTAAGAAAGGAACCCATTGCTCCGGCAAACTCTTCTTTGAAATCAGGTTTCTCCCAGCCCCAGAGTCAATCAAGAACTCTTGTCTCAGGCACGTTGGATCTGTCAATGCTGCCATAGCAGCAACGCACTTGAATGCTCTTTCGAACATCCCAGGCTGTTTCACGCGCCTTTTGGTTCTCTTCAAAAACTTCTGAGCTTTGCATTTGGCATCTGAAAGAACACCTACGGATTGCTCCTGCCCTGAGGACGGTGCATTACTGCAACTCGCCCTTGCAGCCTCAGCCCCCTTGATTGTGGATCCAACAGCTGCACCTGCAATGACTCGGGCTACACCGGCACTAACAGTTGCTGCACCGGCAGTTGCACTAGTGCTAGACTTCTGCAGTGCTTGTGGCTTCGGACCCTTAAATAAATTGTTCTTGTCATGCAAGTATGGACATTTTGCCCCTTTTGTACAGCTGTCATAGGCAAAGTACATGCATGGTAACTTGGCTCTGTCCTCACGAGACATAGGCACCGAAGACCCTTTCCCTGGTTCCGACTTCTTGCCCTTCCCTTTTGGGTTTCCAGGCGCAGCAGCAACTGATGAAGCCACATCTGAAGTTTTCTTCGGAGATTCTTTCTTGGGTTTCTCAGTCTTCCCTTTTGTTTCTTTCTGCCCTTTTTCTTCGCGAGGTTGGTCCTTATCACCTTTCTTTGGTTTCTCCTTTTTGGGTTTTTCCTTTTCTTCCTTTTCAGCTTTCGCTGGGTTTGCAACTACCTTGTGGCCTCCTGATGACTGCAATGCCTTTTCAACATGCCCTGTGTTTTCATCTAACTGTTCAATCTCTATTGCTTCCTCCATTTTCTGATATAGCCAATTCCAAGTCCTTTTGGACGAGCCTGACCTTGCTTCACGAAATTTATCTATGGCTAAGGCAAGCTTAGGATGACCTTTCAGATTTTCGAAGAGGAGAGATCGCAAGGCACTATCTGCTGGCATGTCAACCTGTTCAAGCGACCCGGCAATGTAATCAAATTTGGATTTGAACTCAACCAGTGACTTGATAGTCGCACCTTCAATCTTCAAGGCAAGCAAGTGATGCTGCGACATTGCAGCCCCCCATGTCCTTGTCGAGCTTGAACTTCTGGAAAATCGTCCATAATAGAAGTCGTCCTGATGGCTGCTTACCCTTCTTTTGATGGGATTCCTGAACCGTCTGAAAGTCCAATGAGAAGCGTGTTCCTCTCGATGATTCCAACAGTTTGTGACCAATGATCCTATCCAAGATTGGGAATTCTCCTGAAACGATCTCCCCTGGAGTCAATGCACTGTCGCACTTTGAAATCCAAGAGAAAACTTTCGATTCATCTTTCTTGGCAAGTTTGCACACTGCTGAATAGATGCTGTTCCGATACCCCCTTGCTTCGGCACCATTCTTTGGAATGATCGGCAGCCTCATGGCATCATACCCTTTCACGCGCATTACTCTCTTTTCTTTCTTGTATTCATCTTGATCACTGTCTGAAGACGATGACCTACTTGATGAATGTTTGGACCTATCAGATCCACCACCATCTGAACCCCCTGGACTGCCCCCTCCCCTCTTCGAATCGCTCGAAGAAGACGAATGCGAACTCTTGGACGAGGCTTTGGATTTCTCCGAAGAGGCTTTTGGCGATGACGGCTTAGGAATTCTAGCTTCTAGATTTTGGACCATCAACTTCAATTGGCTTAGCATGGCTTCAGTTCCTGAATGCTTTGGACTACTGGATTCTTTTGAGACCTTTGATCCCTTTTTACCCTTATGCCCAAAACCCATTTGTCTTTCGCCTGCGGAGCCAAGTGGCTTCTCGCTCGGCTGTGGTTGCACGGCATCCTGGGCATATGGCAGTAGTCCATCTGACATTCCGAATCCAATTGCACTGACCGGTTGAAGGATTTGGCGACCCACTGGAGTGTGAATTGGAAACTCCGTAGCATCTACAGCTCTTGGTGATGATCTCATAGCATCTGATTGCATTTGCGCTATCACTGCATTCTGATTGTCAATCTGCCTAGCCATTGTCTCAATGATGTGACTTTGTTCATCCATCTTATTGGACATTTGCTGGTTTATCTCGATCAACTCATTCATCCGACCCTCCATGTGGGAAACGTGACTTTGTGCATCCCTTTGGATTCTAAGGACTTCAGCTCTTGATTGCAAACGGATACTCTCAATTTCACGGTGTGCCATTTGGACAACTTGTGAAGCTTCCCCACGAATTTCGTTCAATTCCCTTTGAGACTGAACTACTTGGGATTGAGATTCTCCTACAACTCTAGAAGCCTCTGAATGAACTTGTTCTGCAAAGGCTAGAGCTTCATTCCTAGCTATTCCCCTTTCAGCTTCAACGTGTTGGATTGCTTCAGCCCTCAAATTTTCCCGAGCTTGCTCAACGACTTGATGGGCTCTTGCAATGACGAATGGGTTCATACTCACATGAAGTTCGTTTCGAACATTTGTTTGAGAGTAAGTTGGACCCTGACCACCAGCACTGGAACCTGGATTTGGAAACGGATTCTGCGGAATGGTTGGTGAGCTAGCTTGAGACCCATCCCTAAGGAAATTTGAAAGAGTCTCTCGGCCGGCTTTGGCAAGAACGACTCTCTGTTCTGGCGTTGACATGGATCTGGATTCTGACTCCGAACTCGGTGTTGGGATATTTTGTGCATGAACTTGCATAGCTGTTACACCATGATTACCATGGGCAGACCTAGATCTATCGGTTTCCGATGATTGAAAGTCTTCTGAATTCGACATGTTTGGTTCGAATGACGCCATTTTGGCAGTGGATTGGATAAAGGGTGTACTACCTTATCGGCAAGGGTTCACTTCCTAACCTCCACTTTTCACTCGCTCAGCCACTCTTCGACGTATGGCAAACAGTCCTCCAAGAACTTAGCTCGCGGGAAAGTATCAACCGCAGCTGGCTTCCTGAGCAACTTAATGTGTGCAGCACGAACCTGAGGCAAGTAATCGCTGAACTCACTAAGTACGTCGGAACTGTCGTCAATGAAGAAGAATGAAGACTCGTAGAGCCCTGTCTGCTCGATGATATCTGTAACACAAGCGCACTTCCCCTCGGCACCACAACGATCTTTTCGTACAATGATACCCCAGTGAAATACTTGTGCAAAGTGTTCAGTATTTCGAATGTACCTTAAAGTTGAGGCCGCTCTCTTGTCAGTGTCGATGTACGACAGAATTCCAACAAAAAATTGCTTCCCAAACTTATCGGCTGCTTCAATGCACTGGCTGATAAATTTCAAATTGGACGATGGGACCCGGTCCAAGGAATACGTTGTTCCTTCTCTTCCACGATCAACCACCTGATGCCAATCTAATATCAACACGCGCACTTTTGATTTGTCCTCGATTTCGTTGAAGGCCAAAGTATGTTTCTCTTCCGGGCCGTTGGCTTCCGAAAAACGATACAAATGTTGGGATCTCGGAAATCTTGGAGTATACCTTAGAGACACCTGAATCGGAGTAGGACCTTTGGCCTTTGCGACCGGTCTTGAAGAACTGCGTGACTCTCCTTGAAAGTCTCGCTTGCTTCCCGATGCAGCTTGGCTAGGTCTCACCACACTCGATGGCTCTACCTTCTCAGGACGGCTCGGTGCCGACTGATTCTCAGGACGACTCGGTGTCGATTGAGATTGATTTGAGGCCTTGAAAGTTTCCAGTAAAGATTCGCGAACTCTTGTATTCGGATGACTCTCGCTGAAGTTGTCTTTCAAGATAAAAGGAAACTCGTTCGAAAGACTCCCACTGTCCAAACAGGACTGGATGAAAGATACCTTCTGAGGAATTCCTCTTCTTCCGCCTCGACCAAAAATAATTAAATCCCACAGGCAGTCAGAAATACCAGAACCCTCTGGAGCAGGAATGGCGCAAGCACCGAGAGCCAAGTACGGCTGATAACCACGTTTTAGTGGCTCAACCAACCCAGCAGCGACACAGCGGTGCAAGCAGGATTTTCCGATCTTGAGCCAAAGTCAAGTTACAGCATAGTTTCATGCTGACCCAACTCTGGATTGAACATGCTCTGTGCTTATGATTGTAAAGGCACATTCGGTTGGTTTGTGACACATTTGGTGTTTGTAGCCGACGGTGCCCAAGGCAACACGCCGGATTTTGAGCATCCGTTTTGGGACCGCTATGGTTAGTGTTTTTTTAATCCGAATTTCTTCTTCTATATATACATGATATATATATATATTGGTATATATGATATTCCAAGTATCCATCTGCAAATGTTCAATGGAAAACTATGGGATGTGTTAAGGGATGCTATGTTCTTCACTGGGATGTTGTTTCAATGGTATGGGATTAAACCAACCTTTCATGGGATTTGTTTAATGCTGTGAAGAATCTGGTAAACCAACCAATAATACCACTAATATGGCTTGTCTGATAATGGGGGATACACCAAAATGTCTATCCTTTAAGGTGTAAATGATGATAAACAATTGGATCTACGGTACCCTATTTGCAAACACACCCAAATATACAGCAACATGTTTTGAACTTGTAACCAATAGAACCATTTTGATGGTTTCAAGTTGTTCAACTAGGAAAAAACCTGAGTTGATATCACAAAATGCGGAATATCACCTTAAATGACTCTTCATTTTACTGGCCAAGATGATAAACACGGAAAAAAGATCAATGATTTTGGGGCAGCCATCAATTTTCAGAGAAACGCTGATGGATTCAATGGATCTGATTGGCGCCTCTGACGAGCAGCTCACCAGGGGTAGCCAGCTGAGCAACGGCAAGGCGGCCCAGCTACCACCGGCGACCTCCACCCCTGCGGGAAGCTCGATGGCCACGCGAACCCTGGCCAAGTAGAGCTCTTGGGGCAGCAAAAAGATAGGATTTATCATGACGCCTTATGTAATCGGACACAAAACATAATTTTATAAGCTTTTCTTAAAATAGGATGTAATAGGATTTTGATAGCATTTCATAATAGTTCATATGTTTTTTTGTTTTTTTTTCGAAAGAAGTTCATAGGAATTTAAAAGGAGTTCATAAGGCTTTAAAAAGAAGGATTTCATAGGATTTTAAAGAATTTCATAAGACTGTTTTAAAGGATTTGATAGGATCTAATAGAATGTCATAAGACTTTTTTAATAGGATTTTAATAGAATGTCATAAGATTTGTTTGATAGAATTTTAATAGAATTTCATAAGATGCTTAAATTGAATTTAATAAAGTTTAAATGGAATTTATAAGAGGCTTTTAAATAGGAATTAATAGGATTAAAAATAGAATCTCATAAGATTCTTTTGAATAGGAATTTAATAGAATGCCATAAGACTTTTTAAATAGGATTTGAATAGAATGTCATAAGATTTGGTTGATAGAATTTTGATAGAATGGCATAAGCTGTTTAAATAGGATTGAATACGGTTTAACTAGAATTTCATAAGATTTGTTTAAATAGGATTTATTGGGAGGTCATCAGATTTAAAATAGGAATTAATAGGATTTTAATGTGAAATCATAAGATTCGTATAAATAGGATTTAATGGGACTTTAATAAAAGGGCATAGGATTTTCTAAATAGGAGTTCATAATATGTTTTAATAGGAATTCATAGGATTTTAATGAGTTCATAAGATTCTTTTAAATATATCATTCAATAGGAATTTAATAGGATTTCATAAGATGTCAACGGGATTTCATAGAACTTAACAAATATATAGGGGTATAACCAGCCACAAAGTATATAACCAGGAGGATATGGATGGAATTATAATTGTGATTTACCAGGGGCGTAACCAACCAACAGATGGATTTGCAGAGGGGGTTCAACCAAGCAATATAACCAATTTTTTGGATCTTTGGTTGGGTCACCCACAACCTGTATTATGTGGGGGTAAAACATGGTAAAACATGGTAAAACCAAGCAAAAATGAGGGGCCCCTCACTATGAAATGTTCATCAAAAAATGATGTTCGAAGCCTGGGATTTGGGGTACCCTGCAGTACCCTGCAGCCCACGGCCTCAGGGAGCGAATTTTCGCACTTCTCTTTGGAAAAAAATCCTGCAGATCTCCTTCATCTATACTGGTCGATGTTCATAGAATTTCATAGATTCAGAAGATATCTTGATTCGCGATTATATAAGTCCACATTTATTGACGGCTACAGTAAATCCCCATGGATCTTGATGAAATTCACCGGAAAGTTGGCCAAGTGCACCGCCTGCTGTCCAGCTGGAAGATTTCGGTGGGATCACGAGCGGCGGTTCGACCCAGACGTCCCAGGATCAGGAGTTCCTGAGGCTGTTTTGTTACTTTGTCTTCCGGGAAATGGCGTGGTACCCTCCTGTAAAATCCCGTTGATCAGCCCTAGATGGAAACATGTGTATATATATATGTATATATATATGTATATATATATAATGGCGTCTGATAGTTGATAGCATATCCCCACTTATACCCTCCTGTAAGCGTGGAAAAAGATGTGTATGGAATGCCCCATCATGAATGTGGATCATTTTCCGAACGGGTTTTAACCATGGGTTTTCCACATCTATGCAAAAAAATAAGCACAGGGTAGATTTAAAACATTTTAAAACAAATTTTTAGGGGAACAAAACAACACTTCCAGTGGATAAGTCAAATTTTGCCAGCAATCTGCATTCTTGGGGTGGTTAGAAAAAGACAAACAACATGTTCAGACACACCTACTGTAAATTGTTGGTAGATCTACCTGTTTGGTTGTGAAGAATGGGAGGCGACCAAGCCCTCTTTTTCGAAGCAAAACACGGTGACCCAACCCTGGCCAAAAGACCATGGCGATGCATGAGGAATACTCGCATGATGTTAAGTAAATGAGTAATAAAACCATATATATATATCTCATATATATATATATGTAAAACCATGTTCATGTGGTGTATACCATTATCATAGTTTGTCATTATATACGATTTTATATTATAAAGCATCTTATAACTGTCATAGACCTGTGGTTGAAAACCTATATTATATAAAACCTATGTTCTTACCATTCTCCCCATGTCGCGGTTTCCACAGTCATGGGGGTACTGTACCCCAAAATCATCTAAGTCATGGATGATCATTTAACTTTAGTATTGAAACAACCATGGTGACTTTTGGTTATGTTCAAACTTTAAGACCCACAACAAATCGCAGATTATTCGTCCATTTTTTAATATTCACCATCCAAACTTTAGGGCTAAACCATCCAATTTTAGGGGTAATGGTGGTCAAACAATGTCATAAACCACCCATGACTGGGCATGCTAACCATACCACCTATGGTGAAATTGGGGATGGTTTATTGTTTTACCAATATTACCCAATTTGGATCCCCCACTTGGACCCATCCCCCAACCCCCATGGTGATACCATCCGTGACATTCCAAGGTACCACCAGCGCCACGGCAAAGGCATCCGAGGCCAAGAGCTGTTGCCCCGCACTCAGATCCAGGTGCAGCAAAGCCGAGGCCGGGGCCGAGCCTGGAGAACGTGGGAAATCTCCAAGAAATATGAAAAAAACATGGAAAAAACATGGGAATATCATGGTAATATCATAGGAATATCATGGGAAAATTATAGGAAAAAATCATTGGAAAGAAAATGGAAGACCATGGGAAAATCATGGAAAACCATAATATGGGAAAAGATGAGGGAAAATACGCTATCAATGGAGGTGTGTAGCTGGGAAAATCATCGAACTAAATGATTATAAATGGATAATCAAAGATTGTTGATATATGGCATATGATATGGGAATATACTGATATTCTATGGGAATATCATAGAATATCATGGGGATATATCAATCATCATAGGTCTTTTGGGGGTGGGGATTTAATGGGATAATACCCTTGGGTAATCAAGCATGGCAAGCTGGGAAATACACTGCCCTGGAGCTGATTATATGATAGTCTATAGATCTTAATTAAATGCTGATAAGTTTGAGTCAATTTTAGCTGGGTCAAGAATGGCAAACAATCTATGGTGAGTCTGATGACACATCCCCAATCATCACAAATCTATAGCTGGGTCCATAATTCGGTCAATTGGGGATTGAATCAGCAGAAATTGTGATCTCACCAACCACAATTTACAGCCGTTGGTGGCCTCACCAACCACAATTGACGGAGGGCTTGGGAACCACAAATGGTGAGTCTTTCATGGAGATTTGGCGATTTTCGTCAGAACCAAACAGCATCCGAATGGTATCCCAAAAAATATCTGATGAATGTTTATTCCCCCAGCCATATGGTCATAATAGGTGACCCATCCCCATTTGATTTCACCATTGGGTCACCTTCTGGGAAATGTTCATCCCAAATACGCCAACGGTCCAACGTTGTGTCGGGCACCCGTAAAAATCCCATCGTTTATCACCCGTTTCCCATTGATGTTGCAGTATACAAATTGGTGGTAAGTGTCCTGTTTTTTGAACAAAACCAAAGGAGGTCAAAGTACTGTATTTCGTCGCCATGAAATTCCGAAGCTGACAAAGTGAACTTTGGGATAACATATGCACATAGGCTCTGTGACATTCCCACAAGCTGTGATTCCCTCCTTGCGCCAGCTGTCTTCACCTGCCAGCTCAAGGGATTTCAACTCTTGGCTCAGCTTTCCCACGCCCATGTTGGCCGTGAGCTTCAAACAGCTGTAGCCAATGGACTCCTGCGAGGGGTTCCATTGCCGTGTTTCGTTGTCGTAAGAAAAATGCAGGTGAAAAAGAAGAGGACATTCAAAGTAGCCTTGAAAGATGGTGCCTGCGAAGGATCAACCCGCCTACGATGGGTTTCAGCTTCAATGGATATCGGATATTGAAATGATCTAACGAAAAAAGAGTACTGCACTATCTGCATCCGAAAGAATTGCACTGCCCCATCATGTTGTATGTCGCACACCGCTTCAACCCGTTGCGGAGAGCCCTGTCCTTGGCTGTCATCCGCACTGAAAAGGTCTTGCCGCAACCACAATGCCTTGGTGGAGCTGCCTTTTTGATGTCGGCAAAGCAATCATAAACCATCCCCAAAATTTACCACAAAGTTGCCATAAAATCATATAAAATCCATAAATGGGTGGTGTAAACCATCAAAATGTGGTTGGTTTATGGGATTGCTTGCTATTGGCCTATCCCTCCTCGTTTCACCTGAGACTCCACGCGGGCCCACGTGTACAGAGAGCCACTTCTGCGCCGAGATCAGCGACATCACCTCCCATCCGAAAAGACTTGCTGTGGTGCTACCAATCACATCACTCTTAAATCCTATTAAATCCTATCAAATCCCCATTAATCCCCATTAAATCCCATCAAATCCTATCAAATCCCTATTAAATCCTATTAATGCTATTAAATCCTATTAAATCCTATCAAATCCCTAGTAATCCATCTTAAATCCTATTAAATCCTATTTATCCCTATTAAATCCTATTAGATCCTATTAATCCCTATGAAATCCTATTAATCCCTATGAAATCCCATTAATCCCTACTAAATCCTATCAAGGCCAAAAAAAACTCCAAAAGTTCAGCCATCTGCAGTCGCCTCCTCCGCAAAGGGCTGAGTCTCAGGTGGCCGCAGTTCCACCCGATGCGCCATGAGTTGGGTGGCCACTTGCGCCTGCGTGGAGGGGTCTGACGGTCAGGGGATGACATTCCCAACTTCGCCAACAAAACAATATACATATATATATATATATTCCCAACTTGGAACATGTCATTGATCTTATGTGACTTGGTTTCATGTCTTTGGTAAATCTGGAGGGAAGCTTAATGACAATGAGCAACTCCAGACAGTTCTTTGGGAAATGTTCGAAGACGTGTCCGCCCAATCCACTGCCTGCGCAGCATGTGTTCCCCAGACCACCAGCAGCAAAGGGCATCGTGGTTTTGGTAGTGGACCAGCCTGCACAAAAGGTGGGGCAACGGACTGATTCTCGTCTGTAAGAGTCTGTAAGTTGTGAGAAAAAAATGAACTCAAGCTTGGTGGTACACGATGAAAAAAATGCCAACATGATTTTGTTGGTGATCCATTTGCGATGAAGTATCTAAAATTTAGAATTACGGATAGCTCAACTTGGTGGTGAGCCCTTCTGCTTGGCCTCATCAGTCGCATCGTGCACCTCGGTGAACTGCGGATGGTCGTCCAAAAACGCTGCGTTTTATCACACTGTGATGCGATTCTTTATAAACATTCAAGGTGGGAATCCGAAGAAATCCATACCCTGATATGGTTTTCAAGGGTTTTCAAGGGTTTTCAAGTCTGATTCATTCCGAAATATGCTTTTCGATGTTCCTCCCACGACATGGTTTTCACCCGACAGTCCCACCCGCTGCCGCCAGATTGCTGCTTGGACAATCGCCTGTTGAGCCGCGAAGGACGCATTGTCTGGCAACAAGAGGCAGAAGAAACCCTGCGAAGCATGAGCCCACCTGACCACCAAGCGCCGCTTCGCGCATTTGTGATGGCTAACAACCTTGTAGGATTGACTAGCAACAAGCCTTAGATGTTTTAGCAATAATCCTAGATGTGATGTAATTGTTGCAAATGATGGTGACCAACCTACAGATTCAGCCTCCCCAGGTCAACCAACATTCCGCGCAAGATAAGTATATATATATATTATGCAGTATGGGACAAACTAGGTCCGTAAAGACTTACATCGTAAACAAAACAAACCAAATATGTGTTTCCTAACACCTTCAATCTTGACCATGCCGGATTATGTTGCCACCTTTTCTTGGTTGCAAGTCCCTGTCTTATGGGTTGCAATCGCACTTTTCTTTTTTTTTGTAGCTGATGTATATTCCTGCGTATGATTTGGATTTGCTGATGCGCAACCAAAAGAACAAATTATTGCCTATAATATATATATATATACAATACATATATATATAATATGTTATATATATATGCTATTATATGCTCCCCATGTTTGTTGGATTCCCAGTGACTCAGTGGGGAAATAAGAAATACCTTCAGCCCAGCGAAATCCAACGCTTGGAATTGTGTACTCTTTGGTAATCACACGTGGCTAGCTGGAAAAATCCCCAGCTAACAATGGAGGTTTATTTTGCTGGCAACATCATCTCTCTCAATGGCGGTTTGTTCATTGTCACGTTTTACCGGAGGGTAGCTGAAGATTCACCCAACCAACCAACCAACCAACCAACCAGTTGCAACCAACCAGTTGCAACCAACCAGTTGCAACCAACCAGTTGCAACCAACCACCCCCAACCAGGACCTGATCAGCAAAACCGAACCGCCTCAACAGCAGCAGCTGCATCTGTTCGCTGCAACTTCTGTCGTGGCAGAGCAGCAGCTCCTCTGGCCGCGGTCGGCGCTTCAAGGAGAGGAAGGGCCAGAGCCTGGAGCTGGGGCTAGATCCAAGCAGCAAGGCCGTCAGAAAAATGTGGATTGACTCTGATAGATATACTGGTATGACCCAATTGGTTGATTGAAACATGTTGTTGTCACACTTGTTTGGAAAATGATTCAGTGGATAAAAACTGGTCAGTCGGATTCGACCGGCCAACGTACCCGCAGTGGAATCGAAAGATCTGAGTCCAAGAAAGGTCAGTAGTTTTTAGGTGGTGAAGCACACTTAAGTCAACTAGCTCAGTTCTGATTCCAATCAATCCCCTTCCACATGCCCAGGAACCTTGGTGGAATGAATCCGATCTCATCATTTCCCACCGAAAAATGGGCACAGATTGGTATTGGGGCATGGAAAACTCTTCGAAGCAAAGCAGCACTAAAGCGGTGGCCATCTGCATGTCTTGGGCCAGAACCACCTGACCATGACATGGCATCGAAAGAAATGTCTAGGCGGAGCAGCCAACAACCGAATGGACATGTTGAGTAGCAAAAATGGAGGTCATATCGTCATATTCAATGGATTGATTTAAGGGAAAATCTTAACCGGAACCCGGAAACCATAGTTTCCCATGAAATCTGGGGCTTTCCTGTAAATTGTCCCTTAAACCAATCCATCGTCATATCCAACGGGCTGGGGATGACGCCTCACCCAGTCCGAGGGGGAATCTCGGAATCCTGTCCTTTAGCTTGCTGAACAAGCTGACAGTGGTGATTCTCAAGAAATCCACTCATGTGGGTAAAACAATGCCATAAACCATCCCCCAAATCACCATTTTTATAGGTGGTACGGTTACCATTCCCAAATGAGTGGTTTATTATTGGTTCACCCACATTGAATAAAATATCAAGTGGACCATTTTTGTCGCCATTCTCTGGATGGTTTGAGAACGTGGTAAGGGCTCCACCGAGCGCCTGCGCTCCTGCGCCACAATCAAAAGGTTCCGCGGGCACCGCTGGCGCCACAGCAGTCGATCCAAAGGAAGCCCACAGCTCCTGTGCCGCACTGCTCCTGTGGACCCGATTTTTTATTTATGAACCACTCAACAGTTCTATGAAGTGATATAAATTGGTGTAAGATGGTAGGAATGGTTCATGTTCATAAATTTTCTGGTCAACAATCGGATGAATTGAAAACCCAGGAAACTGGCAGAATCTTGTGCATCTTTCGGAGCAAACGATGGCAGCTTCTGCAGATAGCTTGCTTCATTTTTGTTGTGGGCTATGATCCTGAACTAGCAGTGGTAAACTGGCCCCATGTAGACATCAATCGGGTCGTCAACGAAAATAGTGATGTCTGACTTCGAAAATATTCGAAAATGACAAACATCTGCCAACCCGCACAACATCACAACAGTGATATCCACAGCTACCCCAATGGTCCACTCTCCCACGATCAGAGACCGTGGGATTTCCAACCTGAAGTCCGTCCGCTAAGTTCTGCAAGTTCCGGGCATCTTGATTCAGAGCCGCTGGGCTGTCCTTTCGGCAATGTTGGATCCCCATTCATGGAAAGGCACTGATCAAGAGGATCCCCAATCAGTGTTGCAGCGAACACTCGATTCAAGACTTCAAACGCATTCAGCTTCTGTTTCTCCAGAAGTGATGATGAAATTGTTATGCCCAGGGGGAGGATTTGGTTTAGTACGAGCCCCCAGTTCTGACAATTGAGTTCACCCCATCTCTGGCAGCGATAGCTCATCATTGTATTTTGAAATGGGCATGGGTCAACATTGGATGCCCCAAGCATGGTTCACGAGCAACAGTGAACAGTGAATCTTTGAGTGATCTGAAATTTTGACCCATACTCAAAATACTCAGTCACTCGGCCAAAATTCATGTTTTTGCTGCTCAAAATCCCAAGTGCTCTTGGTTATATCACGATTTGGTTCGTGAAAATGCCTTTTTTTGCCGATCAAACCCCCTTTTTCGCTCCTCTGGGGTGGCACTCGGCGCCACACGAAGCTTCAGCTTTTCCCACCAAGCACTGGCAGAGCTCCAGGACCAGGTTCGCGAAACTGCATCTAAGACCTGTGATTGATTGGATGAAATACCATAAATCGGTCTGTCAAGAGGAAACAAGAAGAAACAACAAGGCTTGAGCTCTTTTGGAGATCTGCATGTCAATTTTCATCAACCATGTCTTCATTTCTTTTGGAGAGTCCATTGAATTTAAACTGAAGTCCATTTTGGAGTCCAATATTCCCACTTCCCAACAGCCCAACAGCAGCACCTTCATGGCTGCAGTGCCCTCATCCCGCAACAAGGCACGAAGCAAGGCACCCAGCTGTCTTGCTGCGAAGAAACCCAAAACCTGGAGCTGCCAGGACTATCTCTGGGAGATCTTGAAGAAAAAAATGCAGGAATCCATCTTGTTTTTCGCCGTATCTCGGGGTTCCTGCAAGGGTTCCTTTTTTCTTTGAGCTAGGATCAAAAGAACATAGTCGATCTCACAGGACACAGAAAATCCATGAGATTGCGGGGGCCCAACTCTATGGAGTAATTACAGAGTAGAGAATGACCACTGTGCAATGAGCTGCACCGAAAATTCGCCGACCAGGCACAGGATGGCTTTGCCGCAGTTCCGTCAGCTTCCTTCGCCAATTGCCCTGCCACAGGGGGCCATGTGGGGCGACGATCCAGCATGGGATACATCAGGATTTTTAAGGTGCTCACATATATGATACATTATAATACTATGGAGTCATGGAGGGTTGTGGGAAAAGTAACAAGAAAACTGTTCCAGGCGACTTCGATGAAACACATGGACCCAGTTCCTGCAGTTAAAGACCCTGTTCAAAGACCCTGCTTGGATCCTTCCTACATCTAGGCCATCTACATTGTCGCATTGAATGCTGTTCTCCATCGTCCTTGTTTGAAACCACATTGCATGATTCTAAAGCATCAAAACTACCTCGAACCATAAACAAGGATTTAAAAACTTAAGAAGTGGGGCAGCAAAACTTCGGGATGCAGTGGTATGAATATAGTATATAGTAACCCCAAAAAAGATAGAAACATGTTTAGATGACATTCATATACCACATATTTCCAGCTTTCCCCCATTGTCCTATCTATTCTGGGGTTGCTATAGATTGGTGACCGTTCAACTTTCCACGCCTGTCGTTCTCTGAGGCTGTTGAGTTCTAGCTTCATCTTGGCTAAGGCTGTGGATAGCCACCACTCCAAGCGAAACTCCTGGCACGGCATGGCTTTCTGTCTGTCTGTTGTAATGAGTTTGTGACGAAAAGTGGTAGATTAACCCCAATTCATAACATAGGGGCCATGATGGAGAATGTGAACCCCTGATGAATGGTGACCATGGTTAAAATGTTACCGTCTGCTGTTGGAGCGGGTTGCTTCCCAATGAAATAGCAAAGGCTTATAATGCAGCTTTGGCACTACTTGAGTTGCGACAGTCGTGATTTCGGGTAATCGCCCAGACCCAAGTTCATTGGCGGGTCATTTTCCACTTCCATGGTTGCTTGAGGTATACAGTATACTATGTATTACTATGTATGGTATTTCCTTGGAGGAGTATTTCAATGAATGACTGATTCCAAAAGTACTTTAAACATCTTTAAACTTAAATGATGCAGATCACCATCCCAATATGTACTGGTACTGGATCTGGAAACCCTCAATCAGAACCCCTTTTTATGACCCAGTTTTCACCCAGTGTCCAGAACTACGGAGGTCCTGGAAGTCAGGGTGTCCAGCCTCTCGCAAATCATCCACCACCTGGCAACATGGAGAGATCATTTCCGGAGGAATCCTCAGAGGCCGCATTTTTTTTAATCGCATTTCATCATCTACTGAACAATCTGAACATACTTCATGCCATTTTGAAACATCAAAACACCTCTTGGTTTGCTGCTAACATCTGATCGCCCAATAATATACTCTTCCTGGTGGATCTCCTTGCAAGTACCGGTCATGGCGGACAAAGTCAGGAATAGTGAGAAGCGGTTTCAACACCTGTGAGCGCGTCAAAATCGTTGCCCAAAAATGCAAACAGAGGGTCGATTGTCCAAAGGTTTTTAACATTTGAGGATCATCCTAGTTTTTGGGGACACCTAGTTTTCAACAAATGTTGACCCACTAGGTGAACAATTGGTTTAAACTAGGTGTTTTTTTCGAGGACACCTCTTGTATTGTCCAGTCTCATCCCAATTTTGACCGCCATGTTTTTTTTCGAAGCTTTCAGTCATGGTGGCGCACCGTGACAGCCAAGCGAACCAGTCCGATCTGCTCGTTGAAAATGGCCACCTGCAGGAAAAATCTTGCGCCCGGGTGGTACACCGGCTGATCTTAGAAACCCTGCATAGAGAAAATACTTGGCATATATATATATATATATGATATATGTGCAACAAGATATCTATCTATGTACATGATCCTTCAAATGTCTTTAAATACAAAGGCTGCTAAGAATTCACCAGTTGACCTTCCCAAACCAAAAAAAATCCAGGTTCCCAGTTCCCATCATGTTTTTTCCACGCAGGGTGTGATAAGGGATGAGCCTGGTTGTTGCGTTTCATACTTCGGTGTGAAAAAGATTCAGCAGCACTTGATCTTGGAAACTCGCTCAATCATGCTGGTTTTTTTGTCAAGAGGAAAAAAACTGAGGGATGAATCAGTTGACAGGTAGTAGTCACGAAATACAAAGATATCAACCAGAGCAAGACAAAGAACCCGATGTCTGATAATTTCTGGGCCCGGCCAAAGTACCTGAAAAAAATACGACGACTGCCCGATTCTTCAGATCACAGTGTACTACGGATGTTATCCCTGAACCTAACTCACCCACGTATCAATGGCCAGAAGAACCTCACAAATTTTCGCACCTTTTGTGATACCTCAAATCTATACATTCTATAACCATCACAGGAAGCTCACGGATAGACCCTTGCAGATCAACGTCTTTAAACTGCACGGCAGAGAAACTTGCTCTAAGCCATGGTTGCACTCATTACCCAACGTCAAGCTGTGAAGCTTATTTGGGAAGATCACTCGTGCCATGATCCGATTGAACTTATGAGCAAGACTCAGGTTTTGGAGATTTTCTGGCAAGGTCACACCCTCCAAGCTGTGGTTGAACGCATGACCAAATGTCAGCGTCGCCAGAGTGCTAGGCAAGATCACTCGTTCCAAGCTCTGGTTGAATGCATGGCCGAACGTCAATTTCTCAAGATTGCTAGGAAAGGTCACTGCTTCGACGCTCTGGTTAAACTCATCACCCAAAGTCAAGTTCAACAGACTACTTGGAAAGGACACTCGCTCCAAGCTCTGATTAAACTTAGAACCCAAAGTCAAGCTTTCAAGGTTGCTTGGCAAAAGTACTTGTTCCAGACTCTGGTGGAACTTGCAATCGAAAGTCAAGCTTGGAAGGCTGCTTGGCAAGCTCTGGTTGAAGTCAGCACCAAAAAGCAACTTTGAAGACCGCTATGCAAGGTCACTCCCTGCAAGCTCTGGTCGAACTCATCTCCAAAAGTCAGGTTTTGTAGACTGCTTGGGAATGTCGATGCCCCCAAGGCCTGGTTGAACCCATCGCCAAAAGACCTGTTTTGCAAACTCCTTGGGAAGGACACCTCGTTCAAACTCTTGTCAAAGCCAGTACAGAAAGTGTAATTTTGGTTGTCTCCCAATGCCTTTCGCTCCAGACTTCTCTTGAATCTTCGAAAAGAAAGAAGTCCAGTCTAAAAGTTCGCTAGGCAGCATCACATGCGGCAAGCCCTTGTTCAATTTACGTCCGAAATTCAAGCTTTGAAGACTGCTTGGCAAAGTCACCAGACCCAACCTCTGATTGAACCACTCACGCACCAAACGTCAAGCTTTCAATCGTGTTTGGTAAGGACACCAGTTCCAAGCTCTGGTTGAACTCAGCGCCAAATGCCAAGTTTTCAAGACTGTTTGGAAAGGTCACTCCGGCAATGCTCTGATTGAAGGCACGACCAAAAGTCTAGCAAAATCGAGACGGTTTGGCAACTGCCTGGCAACGTCACTCCCTCTAAGCGGTGTTGAACCCGTGGCCCAAAGTCAAGTTCTGAAGGCTGCTTGGCAAAGTTGATTGCTTCAGCCTCAGGTTGAATTCAGGACCAAATGTCAAGCTGCGAAGGCTGCTTGGTATAGTCAATGTTCGCTGGTTGATGTTTTGGCAAAATTTCTAGTTTTGAATACCATTTGGCAGAATACCGTTTCTCAATTTCTGGTTGAACTCATACCCGAAAGACAAGCTCAGAAGGCTGCTTGGCAAGGTCACTCACAACAAGCTTTGGTTAAATTCAGCACCACATGTCAAACTTTGGAGGGCACTTGGAAAGACTACTTGCTCCAAGTCTTGGTTGAATTCAGACTCAATGTCAAAAACAAGTCTCGGGAGACTGTTTGGCAAGTGCACTCGCTCGAGGCTGTGGTTGACGTAGCACGAAAAGTCAAGCTTTGGAGGCGGCTTGGCAAGGTCACACCATCCAAGCTGCTATTGAAGTTGTCGCCAAACGTCAGGAAACGAAAACTGCTTGGGAAGGTCACATGATCCAGACTCAAAAACCAAGCTCTCAGGTGTGCAGGGCAGGTGGGATAAATACTCACTGGGTGGTGCAACTTCCAAGATCGTCACGCCTTCTAAGGCAGCCTCATTGTTGTAAGGCCTTGCACATAACACCAAGCATCATTCAATTTTGCTGGCACACGTAGTACAGGCTTGCTTCTCTGCCCATGCCTTGCTCTTGCAAGGTTTGGTGCGGCCCGAATGCACTGGACAGCTGTGGCGCCACCAGGCTTTCCACAGACATGTTCAAGACAATTATTCTAATCCCATTATAATCTATCATATTAGTCAACTTCTCAGACGATCCGCTTTGTAGACGCACAGGTCGTCACGCAATGTGATACACACAGATTCCAGAACCACTACTAGTCGAGACAAACAAAGTGGAGGCTGGATAGATCTCGCAGCAATCTGTTCAGTTGGCCCCAATCCGTTTTGCTTCTGAAGGGATCCCTGTAGATCAAAACTGTCGGCTTCTCAACTTTGAATGGTGAACGTAAAATATCTGCGGGGAGACATTCCAACTTTGCTACATATTATGACATATAGTAACCCAAAAAAAGATGGAAAAGTAACTTACATTGATCTACAACTATTTGAGCTGAATTTTACTTTTCTATATGTTTAGCAGATTACATTCTGTGTGTGTGTATGTATATATATATATATGCCATTTGATCATTTATTACTACACGTATCTATGTCTATATAAAGATATCTATGTGTCTGCATATCTATATTATTTATATATATGTATATATATATATGTATATATATATGTATATATTCATATTTATATTTATATCTTTATACATATCTCTATAGAAGTATATGTATACCGTCTGTATACCCATCATATCACCAAAAGCTGAATGCATTGTACGCCCACCGGTCATTTTCCCACCTGTCCAAAGGCCGTGTCCGAAGTGCTGGCAGCCAAGGTTACAGCAGCCTGCCATGCGGTCGTCTTCATAGAACATAATTTCATTGAACGTGTAGACTCCCTAAATCACATGCTTGTTTTGTTATATACGTGAATGGAATGTGATGTTATGTGATGTTATGTGATGTTATGTGAGGTTATGTGATGTTATGTGAGGTTATGTGATGTTATGTGAGGTTATGTGATGTTATGTGAGGTTATGTGATGTTATGTGATGTTATGTGATGTTATGTGATGTTATGTGATGTTATGTTATATTCAATATGTACTCTTACTGCTTGCTTTGTGGCACTAAGGAACACTTACAGTCACAAGGTTTTGTTTTTGTTGTCCCACCTGAAAATCCAAGATTTCCACCAATCGCTGCGGCGCAGACTTCTGTTCTATTCCTGACGGCTGGGCAGTTGGGCACAGCGAATGGAAGGATGGAGACTTCAAGCTACAATGAAGCGACGATGCGAAAGGCGCCGCTTCTTTCATGCAAAAAAAACGAAGTTTTATTCATTCCACATTCTCAATCATTTGGAATCGTTGATCATCTCAACCTCACCGACCAGCCCCTCCTGGCTTTTGGCTTCAAAGAAGAGTGAACTCAGAAAAGCATCGAGTTTCCGAAGTCCCCCAACCTGGTAACCTATCCATCACCATCCATCACCACTTCCAACACAGGTTCTTCCGACCCATCGCCCCTCCACCCGTCCACGATGCCTGGGTCGTTCAGTAGCAGGTAGAGCAGCCGCGCTTCCGCTGGAATCTGCGCCAGCTCCTCCTCTTCCTCCTGAGATCGAAATGACTCAAGGCATTGGGCAAAAAAATGCCAAAAATGGGATAGTCGACTTGCGGATGCAGTGGAACCATAATAACTGGGCGAGATTTCACCATAGTTGTAGCCCCACCCAGCTTATGCAGTTTCGAATCCCATAGTTGTAAAATGACCTGTCCATTTCTAGGCCCAACTGGCTCGAAAGAACCTGTCATCACACCAAACCCCAGGCGCACCTCCGTGTCAGTAGCGCCACTGGTCAACCTCGAGACATCTCCGATCAAAGAGGTTGCAAAAGTCCAGGGGTGCTAGGAGATGGCTGATCGGATTGGTAGTGTATGGGGGGTTCCGAAGTCATGGGGGTACCCCAATACCTGGATGGGATATCATGGAAAATCCTCGGGAAATGGATGAGGTAGGGGGTACTTCAAGAAAATGGAGACACCCATATCAATGATGAGATTTGGCTCAAAAATGTCACCCATACTCTCAAGTCTAGCCTGCAGTCAAAAGACTTCAGTGCTCCAACACACATATCACCATCCACACATCTTTTCGCTGCTTCTTGAACCAATTTGAAATTTTGCGAAACTGGGATCGCAGGAACTGCCTGGCCTTGGATAGGCCATGACCCATCGCGCACAGCCTTGGCTCTCAAGTTGTCATGGATCAATGCTGTCAGGAACTACCATGCAAAATACAACTGAATAGCCATGACAAGGTTCCTCCATAAAGATCACCGTTTGTGGAGTAAGAACCATCATTTAACCACCTCAAAGTGATGTCAGTGATGTCTAACACTCGAAAAAATGGAAACAATATGAAATAATTCTATACTGTGTAGGGACCACTGCACGACTCCAGGGATGTGTAGCCAATTCCATTGTCCCCCGAAGATTCCAACAAGCAGCGGCTCTTTTCCAGAATTCATATCCAACCCTCTTCCCGGCTGCCACGGCGCGCGGGTGGTTTTGCACCGGCGGTGCAGCTCACCATGACGCCATCCATCACGAGACTTTCCAGACTGCTGGGAAACTGTAAAGGGAGCAGTTCCTGCAGCTTTTTGTATCTGTTGAAGACACGATCAAAGATCAAACTCTGCAAACAGCTTGGGAAGGTCACACCCACCAGGCTCTGCTCAAAGCCACGACCAAACGCCAAGCTCACGAGACTGCTTGGCAAGGCCACTCCCACCAAGCTCTGATTGAACGACTGGCCAAACGTCAAGGTCTGAAGAGAGTCTGGCAAATCCACACCATGAAGGCTCTGGTTGAACTGGTGGCCAAAAGTCAAGGTTCGAAGACTGGATGGAAAGGTCACACTCACAAGGCTGCTGTTGAAGTGATCACCAAAAGCAATGCTTTTAAGGCTCTGTGGAAAGGACACATGCTCCAGGCTATTGTTGAATCGAGAACCCAAGGTCAAACGTTCCAAGGTGCTGGGGAGCTTCACGTGTGCAAGGCTCTGATCAAAGTGAGCACCAAAAGTCAAATTTCGCAGACCGCAGGGAAGGGTCACCTCCTCAAGCCTTTGGTCAAAATGCTCGCCAAACGTCAAAGTTTCAAGGCCTGCTGGGAAGGTCACATGCTCGAGGCCCTGGTTGAACCTGTCACCAAAGGTCAAGCTTTTCAGCTTGGGTGGCAAGTCGACGGTCTCCAACTTTTCGCTAAAGTTTCCACATAATTTCAAGCTCTGAAGACTGCTTGGCAAGCACTGCATCGGCTTGAAGCGGATGGTCAAGTCTTTCAGACCGGGAAACATCACATGCTCCATGCTTTGGCCGAACCTGGCACCAAAGGCCAAGCTTTGAAGACCACATGGCAAAGTCACGCCCTCAAGGCTCTGGTTGAACATTGCACCGAAAGTCAGTTTTTGAATGCTGCTGGGGAGGATTACTCCCTGCAAAGTTTGGTTGAACTGAAAGCCGAAAGCCAAAACCTGAAGACTGTCTGGAAAGTTCACACCTTCCAGGCTTTGGTTGAACTGAGAACCAAGGGTCAAGGCTCGAAGACTGCGCGGAAAGGTCACACCAGCGAGGCTCTGATTGAAGTACTGCCCAAAAGTCAAGATTTGGAGGCTATTTGGCCAGGTCAAGTGCTCAACTGTTTGGTTGAACCTCTCGCCAAAACTCAAGGTTTGAAGATTGCACGGCAGGGTCACACCCTCAAGGCTATGGTTATATGACAAACCGAAACTCAAGCTCTTGAGGCCACTGGGCAAGCTTACTTCTGCCAGGCTTTCGTTGAACCTGTCACCAAAAGCCAACCTTTGAAGACTGTTGGGCAGGGGCACACCTGCGAGGCTCTCGTTGAAGCTGTGACTAAAGCTCAACTTTTCAAGCCGGTCGGGGAGGGTCACAAATTGCAGGCTATGCGCACCAAATGTCAAACTCTGCAGATTGTTTGGCAGGATCAAGCCCTCAAGGCTTGGGTTTTGCCCATCATCACGGACCATCAAACTTTGGAGGCCGCTTGGTAATTTCACAGAGTCCAATGTTAACGGCTTTTTGTTCCCCGGGGAGGTAGAGGTACCAACCGTGAATTTCAATTTTCGAAGGCTCTGGGGGAGGTTGTACAAACATTCAAACACATCATTTGTTAAAGCGTCCAGATGTGTCAATCCCTCGAGTGCAGACCTTTCATCCTGTGGTCGGTTTAACTTGATGAAACACCAGGCCGCATACACATCAGTTGGAATGTATGTGCAGGACAGGGTTGCAGCTTTCCCAATCCCTTGCTCTTGCAGGCTCTGGTCCAGCATCAGGGTGGATTCGCCATGGTGCAGGACGATCTTTGCGCCTGTCTTCCATGGAAGTTGCTGGGAGACCATCTCTTGGACCTCGCGGCCCAGTTGCAGAGGTGGCACCTGTAAGGTGAATCCTTGACCTGTGAGGCATAGAATCTGCAGCTCCACCAGCTCAGGGCGGCTTGGTGCAGCTGAATAGCCACTTGTCGCCATGGGACACTTGAGCCGAAAGCGGCTTCGGCACCCTTGGGGGTGCACGAAGAGACGTGAAACACATGTTGACCCACGGCAAAAATATGTGGTACTGGGAAGAGGCAATACGGCAAGACTGCATGTGTGGCCTGGTTTCAAATCCGCTTGGAAAAAAGATGAGTTGGCTCTTCATCATCATCTCAAGTAAATTCGAGATGGAAAAATCACGGGATTTTTGGGCACCTGGCGACATTTGAAAACCACCAACCCTAGCAGTGCTCCAAGAAGCTGCTTGGCTTCAGCATTTGCAGCATCCTCGCCAATGCTGCATCCTTCACCAGGACCCGTCGCTCACCCCATCATTTGATGTCGAGTTGTGTTGCCATGGTCTTGGTGGTCGAAGTGTAATGGTTTTACAACTGTTTTATGGGTTATAAGTTATAACTACTTATTATAACTACTTATTATAACTACTTTATAGTCAATGGTGGTTTAATAGTGTAAGTTCAGCTTAAAGCCTTTTTTTACGGGTCATAGATATATACATGTGCTACATACCACCTATCTGCGATACATCCCACCCATCCCCACCATCGTTCATTACCCCAAGTTCTGCTGCTAGTCGATATAGCCCATCACCTTCCCTATCTCCAAGGTTTTCTGGTCGATGCTGAAAAAAAGCCACCTGAAAAACTGCATTGCATGCCACCAGTGCACACCCCGGTCACTTGATGTCACTTGGCCATCATTTGCCCCAGTTCATCTTAAGGAACCGGAAAGCGTGAAACCACCCAGGATTTTTGTGGTTGAACAAAGATTTAAAAAAAGCACCTTCCAGGGCCGATATCAGGTCCTGGCCACCAAGGAGTTCTTGTAGCGGTCCCATCATGGAATGTGCGAAGTTCAGTGCCGTCACGAGACCTGGCAGCTGTGATTTTGGGAGCCATGGACTGACACTTCAAGTGCTGGCGGTTATCAATTGGGGAATGTGGTTTAGAAATGTTTAGAGAGAAAGCAACTGATTTTTAAACATCTCCAAACCACGAAATCACGAAATCAACCAACTTGTGAGGGAAAGTACATTTCAAGCCACAGCCACCTGGTGGATCTGTGTCAGCAACAAGGGTCATCCCTTCCCCCGCTAAATACTTCCCAACATGGGACCCCAAAATGGGAAAATCTCGTAGTAAATCAGGGTTTCAAGTGGTGGTACTTCAATTGAGGGAACAGGATCAGTGAGTGACTCAACCACGGAAACACAAGACATCAGAATCCTCTATGGGTCGCTGGGAGCTGCTCCGGCTGGCCTGCAATTTCCGTGGAGTTTTCTAAGGAAGACAGAGAGGAGAAGAAAGCATCCTCAGGTCGCGGCTGTCACTGTTTCTCTGAGGTTTCAACGAGGATTTCAGCAACATTGTTCCCAACAATCAAGTGGCTGGTAGTTCAATTCAACCAAAATGAGATATGATATTACCAGATATTACCAGATATAACCATTGGTTCCTGCTAGCAAGTGCTGGCGAATGACCCTCGTGAAGTCCCGAACTAATGATCCTGAGGTTATCCCTTGGCTGGGATATCCAAGACTCATCCAGACCCCAAGCACTCCTCTCGTCCATGTATGTCACTGCCAAAAAAAATGACACACTTGATATTCTGAATATACAGGGAAAAAAACACAGTGAGTTTTCATGGTCTCCATGGTCTCCATGGTCTCCATATTCTCCTCTCACTCTTTCCGTCGTTTCAGATCCAGATCCGATTAAAAAGGCCCAGCATCCAACGAGGGGAAGCGGATCTTGGGGCGATAGATCAGGTCCTCGAGTGCGAAGTGGCAAAGCTGAGTCATGATCCCCAGTTGTCACCACGGGTTTCAATACTAAGTCATGGTCTACAGTCATGGGGGTACCATACATGGGGTACCCCAAAAAATGGATGGAAAAATAATTTATAATGGAAAATCCAAAAATAAAATGGATGATTTGGGAGTGCCCCCTTTTAGGAAACCTCCATGTCTATCATCAAAGTGGATGATCAACCCCACGTGGATGATTCTCCTTTCGATTAGTGCCACGGCCACGAAACGGTCAGGCTCCAACTGATTACCCTTGTTTGATGGACGAAAGACAAAATGACATCACCACCTGATGATCCTTGAATGCAAAGTCAAAGTTGTCCTGTCACCTCCGGCCAAGCTTCGTGTAGAGTCGTGCGCACGGCCGTTAATGCTGAGAGTTTGCTCTCATCCACACGACCTGGCGGAACGGAACGGATCAAAAGAATAATGCAGGTGGATTTCTTGAAGTTGGGTACCCAAGCAATCTGCAGAAAAACATGGTTGGTACCATCAATTCTAGGGCTGGGGGAGTCCTGAATTCTTATCCATGGATTTTCCCAAGAGGAGCAAAGCCCGAGGATTGGTTTTGTTCAGCTTTGTCGGGTTGCAATCCCGATAGCAATCAGCCTGACCACTGCAACCACAAGTCTCTTGACCAAGAAGTGAAATACAACACAGACATAACTGTGACATAACTCAAACTGAATAGTCAAGCCACGTGTGCCACGTGTTCGAAGATTCCTTCCCAACAAATATGGTGGGTGAAAGCCTATGGTATTTTTTTTGCGATAGTAACTTTATAGTAACTTAGTAACTATAGATTCAACAACTCTAACTGACTATAAGTATAGTTTTTTCCATGGTTCATCACCATTTTCCCTATCAAAATGCAGTAGAATAGGTAGAATAGCTATACTTCGGGGTAGCCCGGTACTCAGATCCCGCCATCCCATGCCATCCCCACCTTCGGCAGACAGCCAGAGCTCGGCCGGAACCTCCATTTCTGAACGGCCCAGCGCAATCTCCACCCGCACCTCACGTTTTTTAAACGGGGGGCAGTGGAAAAACGGCCGGAAAAATGATGAAAAATTCACTGGAAAGCCGTGAAAGCCGTGAGGCAAATATGAAATGATTCAAATGATCAATAAACAATCAATTTTTACAACACATGTTCTGATCTTTTTTGATCAGAAGAACGATAGCAAGAATGATAGCAATAGTGGTAGCAATAATGCTAATAACAACAACACTAACAATAATAGCAGCAATACTATTAACAATCATAACAATCATTAAGCATCCCCAACTTGAGGTCTATTGTGGGTATGGCCCATTCGGAATGGGATGATGTGAAATGACCCCAATGTTTGGTGCAGCTGTTTGTCGCGGGTCCGAGGTATGGGGCAGCCAGGCAGGTGAAGACCAAAAAAAAATACATTGAATACATGCGAAATAATCACCAAAAATGACCCAAATCTCTTTGCAGCTGCACTGCATAGGAAAGTTGGAGCCATACTCAAATCTGTACATATCAAATGCACAAATGTATCCTGACAGATGATATCTTCGCACCAGCCGTTCATTTCAAGGTTGAAATCTCCAGCTATCACCAGCACCAAATGGCCAGGTAATCAGCATCTTCTGGCATCTTGCGAAGCCTTAGGGTGATACATCCAATGACTCCGAGACCCAGAAACAAGACAAAATGTAGGATCGTATCCACCAAAATGGGGATCCAGTTTTCCACTGCCAAAATAGGAAATCAAAAATAAATCATCGTCTTAAACCAGTCATACTCATCCAGACGAAGGTTGAATTGAGCTAATAGCAAAACGTCCAGAACAAGGAGGTTAGGCAACTCTCAAAGAGCATGCTTACTCCTTGGTCAAGGGGGGACCCAAAGCAATGCTACAAAGCGGTTTATTTATCATTTGGAAAAGTCAGCAACCACAGATATTCAATAGATTATCTATGTCTATATCAGGTCTTTTTTTTCAAGGGACCACATACTTCTTAAAATGTCGAAGCAACTGATTTCCAATGGCAAGGCACCACTGCAGCAAGTCAAAGGCCTCCAGGATTGCTGTCATCAAGTCCTGGAGTTACCGCTGGAATCGGAGAAAAAAAACCTGGAGGATTGCCTTCACGCAACAATGATGGGACACAACGGATACAATTAATCCAAATGTACCCACATATTTGCGGTCAATTATATATATATATATAATCCAAATTAATCCACTAGCTAGCTTACACAAACCATCAGATATACGATCAATCCATGATGTTGGGGTGAACCAGCTATCTATCCAGATTTGCTCAGGGGCTGGAGCTGACTGGGTAGCTGCCCTGAAACAGCATACTTCCATCACAAGTCACCAATCTGCGTCAGGGGGTGCTGGTTTGTTCACCTAAGCCTGTAAAATCGAAGTTTAAACCAGTACTCAGTATCAATTCAATCAATTCTGTATGTGTATCATATATATTATTATATATATTGTATCAATGTAGTGTATCAACTACCAGTGGACCCCCAGCGCAACCACCAGTCTCCCGACGTCTCGGTGTGGTGCACCGGTCCTCTGAATGAATCAACAGCCGTGCATCGATCTTCTCGGAGGACTTGGTGATCTCCTCCTCAGGTCACCCACTTGGAGGATCATCCCACGGATCGTAAGTGGTTAGTAACTGGGGTTAAAACATGTTATAACGGTTATAACGGTTATAACGGTTATAACGGTTATAACCCATGTGTAAATGGGGTGTATTTTTCTTTCTCTATCCTGAAACATCTGTGCGTGGAGGTGTCTGATTTCTTGCTGGAACGATGTTTTTGCAGACAGATCCATGAAATGAACACAGTGCGTATAGGCCAATGTTGTCTATGCAAAACGGGGATGGCGTCACACCCGTTTCAGAATTTCAGGCCCCAAGAATTCAGTATGTTTGATGCAAAGACCTTGGGCTTACCAAGAAATCGCGATGGGATTAATGATTAATGGATATTTCCCTGGGGTACCCCCCTTTCCATCCACTGCTTCATGACCATTTTTTTCCCTCTGATGGCCATAACTGGGATGATACCGCCGGCCAAACCAAGAAAATTGATCTCCGAGACACTGAATCTTTCAGTGGGGTCGTGTCCCAGTGGGCAAAGCGCTCCTCAGAAATCGAAAAAGTGCAGTTGACGAGGACAGGTGCAGTTAATGATTGGCAAAAGGAACTTTAAATGATTGGAATATAAAGAATATACATGTACATGTGTATATATATATACACATACATACATACTATACAATACAATACAACACAACACAACACAACACAACACAATACAATATATATATACATACCTATGTATATACACATGTATACATATATATATATACATATATATATATATACATGACTATATATGCAAATTGTGAGTTTAAAATGAACATATAATTTTAACCAACAGTGATCCAATCAATGGATTGATTTAAAGTTTAAGGGATACTATACAGGAAATCACTGGTTTTTTAACCACAAAGATAGGGAGCAACCACAACTTGTCCCAAGCAATTCTGGAATAAAGCCTTGAACGCTTGCCAGTAGATGTTGCTGTTGAAATGGCCATTGACAAAATGCCTTTCACCATAATGATGACATGACCATTGATTCATGGGTTTGTCTGAAACTAGGGTATCCAATAATTCCATTCATTATCATGCTCATATCAAATGTGTTACAAATTTGGGGCTATTGTTATAGCCCATATTCAAACACACCCACAGCATCCTGTTGTGTACATGTGCCACTAGATCCCACTACATCCCAACGTGATTATAGGACTATCTCGTGGAGGAGCCGCGGCTTGCCCCAAGGTGTCTTGGGCCTCCAGTTGTGCCAGCACCGCCAGGACTGTCTCAGCATCCTGCGATTCACAAAATTGGATGGTTGTCAACAGCAAACATTGGGATTTATAACATGATTCAACAAGAAAACATGGAAACGTCACCACCCAAAGTTGTTTTTTCGAAGATAAACCCAGTGGTTTGGAGTAATGATCTCACGAAAATGTGGTCTTCGGAGTCTTGAATTTGGACTTCACTTGATCTTTTTGCTCTTCAACAGCAGCATAGGGGTCCTTCTGCCCTTCTTCATGGTCAAGGAACTTATCCTGCAAGGAAGCCAAGGTCCTCAGCTGCTGCAGCTGTGTATTTTGAGCTGCGCTCTAAGCTGGGAGTTGGGATTCTAACCACTGGAGCTGGGGGTCTTTTAGGTAGATCGTTTCTGAGAGCCATGCCAAATCCTGTTTTAACGCACTCTTACTCCCGAACATCGCCGGACTTTGCCGTCGCTTCCACCTCACACCTCTGGCAGCGCACAAGGCAGGTGAGGCCCGGATAGGTCTTGTCAATGTAGCCATTGCCACCGGCCACCAGCACTTTGGTTCGCACCTTTGGGGGAAAGACAACACGTTTGGGTAGCAAAAAAGTGGGGGATGGCCGGGAAAGGTTATATAACGTTTAAAGCTTGGCTAATCTTAGACACCCTGCACAAAGGATCCAACGGTCAATTCGAAGCAGTGTCTTCACCTCCATGGCGAGAAAATTACAATGAGCCAGAAGGCCACCATTCACCTGAGGGCTTACCCAAAAAAAAGAGCTGGAAAAATACCAGAATACCAGCATCTCTAGAAATAGATTTTTTGCTCCTCCAGCCCAAACATCTGCCCGTTACAAGCTTTGTCCCCATCTCTACCTGAGCCTTCTCAGGCGTAGCTCCACCAGCAAAGAAAATGTCGCCATGTGAGAAGTTGAAGTCACTCAGCCTTCCACCCTCCCAGGCGTCCAAGCATGGTCCTGTGGTACCCACTACCTCGCCAAAGGGCACGAACCCCAGGGAATCCAGTCGCGCAGAGTTGTCCACCAGGTTGATGAACACTTCCGTCTTGGTGCTTCCATCATCCTCCTGGCCGAAAGAGATGCGCCCAGCCAAATTCTTCTGCAACTTGCCAGCAGCATCCACTTCCCGTGGTTTGGCCCAGGGCATTTCATTGTAGATCTGACTGTGAGGGTCCGAGGCATCAGAAGCGCCAGCACAGGGCCCATAGTTCCAGTCCAGTACAAAGCCTTCGATGGCGCGACAGAAGCGCTGGCCATCCAGAAACTCTGAGTCCACCAACTTCAGAAAGCGCTCGCAGGAGAAAGGGGCCCAACTTGGATGCAGATCAAGTAGCATGTACCCACTGTGCCCAGCCGTTTCATAGTCGATGCGCACGCGGATGCAGTCAGCATCAGCCATGTTGATCAAGGGTTTTTAGAAGAAAAAATGCACTGGCAATTCTAGTCTAGTGCAAGTTGGGATTCATTGCTGCCATTGCCTGGTACATAGTGTCTGGCTTCATAAACACGTTGTCTCAATGCTTGTGAAACGTACGAATGCACGATCTACTTTGACGAAGATGGCTTTCAATGGAGGTTTTTGAACTGATGCATTGCAAACTATCTTTCTTGATGCATGCTCCACAATGCATGATCTCCATCATCCATGACCCATCATTCCTGATCCATCAGCCATTGTCAATGATGATGTGGTTTCACGATCATTTTTATGTGACTATCATGATCATTCTTTGATGCGATTATCACATGGATGATGACTATCATCATAAAGATCATAAAGGAAACAAAGATGAAGAACTGAAGGCTATCCCATCCCATTAGTTGTTGGATACTTATATATATATTGTTGTGACACCAGGATTCAGAGGACTATTTCCCCGTCGGATCCATCGTGCCGAGGATCTTTTTAAGGCCCTGCAAGGCCAACTTCACGGAGTGGCTGTGCCAGAGCTTCCTTGGCCGCTGGGGATGGTGGGGATGTCAGAATTGACAGCTGATTCTCAGGTTTTCTATGTGCAAACACATCGATACGATTCTATACGATTCTATACGATTCTATACGCAATATGTATACATAAAGTATACATATTGCGTATACATACACTTGATCACGTTCATATCTTAGTTTCACATGTGACCGATGGAGCAGGCATTCTGATTCTCACTTCGCTGCCACCTGAAAAAACATGCTGATCTCTCGGACTTGAAGTTCCCCTGGTCCCCTCACCCAGAAAGGCACTTTCCACAGACACCTTCTTACTTCAATTGAATCAACCCAACAATCAAGTGAAATTTACCTGTTACCCCAACCTGTAGTTGGTTCAGGTGGTTAAGGTGCAGCAGCGATGCATCCCATTTGTCACATGTTCTTTTCCTAGTACTCGGGGTACAAGTATGTGACAACCATAAACGTTCTGGCTATGGTGTTATAACGATTACCATTATATAATCACGACTATTAACCATCATTAACGCCCATTTCTTTATTGGTTTCTTAACCACAATTCACACCCGAATCACGCCGAGCTTCTTCACCAACACTTCCGCGGAGGTCTCCCACTCCGCCGGCCACTCCGCATTGGCACCCCAGGAGAGCTGCTGTTCAGCATCGATTTCGAGGCTGGTTCCTGGCGGCAAAATGGGGAAGCTTCTTCCCCAACCATATGAGAAATATTAGATAACCGTAGATCATATAAGAGATATGTGAGATAAGTATAGATATATATATAATTATATATATCATAGATAGAATTAGATACAATCATCAGGAGATAATATGAGAGAACCCTAGATAGCAAGAATCGTGGGAAATCTAACATTGATAGCTGTATGCCTATACCATGTTATACTGTATGTACAATGCTAAGAATCTTGGGAAAACGTAACTTCTGGGTATCTCCATATGATAGCTAACAAAAATCGAAAAATACCCATAAGCAAAATCATGGGGGGTGTTACTTTCTGGGGTGTTCACCTACAAAAGTTTGTGGATTAGCCTGGTGCCAAGCTAACTTTACTTACTTGGCAATGCAACAAATATGTTTTAAAGTTAGTATTTCCTATGAAAACTTGTAGAATCTCATCTATTCCCCTTGTTTCTTTAGGCCTCCAGAAACTGAGCTCAGAACTCCAACTTGGATGTCCAGCAAGCCAATGTTTGTGCAATTGATTATATACGGCCATTTATGGCTAATATAACCAATCCATCAATCAGCCATTCACCAAGGCCCAGCAAAGATTTCGAATTATATCATATCTGACTGTCTCCAAACGTGCAATCCTGATTCCAGATGATAAATATCCTGCATATCTGCTTGGTTTTCATGTCCCCATAGGTCCATCAACTGCGTCCTGTGACAGCCATCAACCGCAACTCAGCTGGAGAGGACAATCTGGACCGAGGGAGTTCGCTGGAGGAGTGAAATGCCAACGGGGGTCAAACGTTGCATGTTCCCCATGCATGTGTTGTTTGTGTTGGTCTTGGTGGTATGTTATATTGACCCAATATTAAACAACATCCATATAATTTCGTAAAATTGTGGTGGATTATTGGTTACAATGAGTGGTGAACCCCAAATGAAGTGCACAACATTCTGCCAAAGTTGTAACCTCATTTAAAAGAAAGGAACTGTGAAAAAAAAGAGGTTACCAGGTTTACTGCACTGATATCCCGATTTTGCCGTCCAGGGAGATTTGAACATTGAACAGTTTGGGGCTGATTATTGTCGTTGTGTTTACCACATTCACGAGACATACTTGACATGATGATGGGTCACGCAGTAAATTCCACAGTAAATCACACCATTGGGCGAGATTTGACATTTAAACAATTTGGTGTTCTTTTTGTCTCTTTACCACATGACTCAAAGTGACCAAACATCGGACAGTGTTAGGATAAAGAAAATCCGGAGATTGATGCTGTTTGATTGGTGCTATCAGTGACCTAGGACTCCCTTTCTTCCTCAACTTGGTGATTGATTGATGCTCTTTTTTCCCATCGCACTTGACGAAGTTGCATGTCAGTGCGATGTTAAGAATCGCATAGGTACATCTCGAAATTGGGACCACAAAAATGATGTGTTCTGGCTCGAAATTGGTATATCAGCGTTACTCTCCATTATGGTTCAACATCCAAAAAGCCCATGATTTTGCTTTCATGGTGCTTCCAAGTTGAAATGTAGATTCTTGGGATCATCTTAGAAATTGAAAAATCACATTACTTTCAACCACCAACCCGCTCAAAAAAAAACAAAGACCTCATTGGAATTGCCCGCCTTAGAAGTCCCAACGACCACCGCTGTGCCCGCCTTTCGAGCACTGGCACCAAGGCGGAGAGTTTCAAGTGCGACTCCTTCAGCTGTCGACGTAAGATCTTGGGAGTTGTTGGATATCGTGGGATAAAAAGTCCAGCCATCCAGGGAGTTTGTGAGACCAAAATTTCAGTGCTCCATCCCCATAAATCCATGCCATTCCATGTGCTTAGATACTGCAAACTGAGTGAAAGATTCTAGCTGGGTATCGCAGCATGCTCCACAACTTAGGGCTCAAAATAAACAGATGTTCACCAACCAATTCACCAGTCCGTTTGGCCACGAAAAACATGGCATTTCCACCTGCGGTTTCTCCAGGGAGGTATAGATCTCGGACCAACGCATGGCCATCGACCTGGGCATAGATCGTCTAACTAACCCTGAAACAAAAAGCATGAACCAACTCCCCCACCTCAGTTGTTCCTCATCAAAGCTGTCCACTTCGGACTGCTTCCACAAGGCCTGACGACAAGTCAAAAGTTCAGGCCTGCTCCAACCTTTTTTGCTTGGTCATGGTCGTTACAATCATCATTCAATCATTTTGGAGGTCCGATGTTCTTTGCTTCATATCCATACCCTTGTTGTTTCCATCTCAACGCCCCACCCTTGTCAATTTGATAAATTCCAACCCCATTTTTGTACCACTACCCATTATGTTTGAAGAGAAGAATCCCAAAAAATGAGACGCTTTTAGTCGTTTTAATCCTTAGTTGGTTTGGAATGTCGACAAAATCGGGACTTGGTTCGTTGTTTACCAGCAAAAGTCCCGATGACTGAAAAAAAACATTGGGATTTTACATGATTTTACCAGCAAACAATGATTGCTGCTGCTAAATCCGGATTTTCTTCCAACCCTCCCCAGATTTTCGCCTTGAAGGCCGCACTACCTTTGCCCAGCAGAGCCAGAGCTCCTGAGCTGCGCAGCAGGGCCGAAGGCACCTGCAGCGGAAACGGCATGGGAAAAAACCGGAGTTTGCCACAGAATCATTGTGGACTTTGAGCAACAAAAAAAATGAATCTTATATCATCTTTGAGCAAAAAAATGTTGTTGTTTTTTCTCTGCAGAATTTATGGATTGAATCTATTAAACCAGCAAAAATGACGCTTCACTGGGTTTATGTTTCAGGGAAACTGTGCAGGAAACCATCTCAATGTCTGCCATCTAAATCAATGGGTTTCTACAAATGTGTGCTAAAAGAAATCTGGGACGATCGGCGTTTGCGATTGATAGGGGCTGCCATATTTATTTCACTATGTATGATCCCCATAAACTACCAAGATGGAGTGACCTCAACAAGAATTACTCCAGCACTTCCCACAAACATCTGTATAATGTTGCTAAAGCAATGCCATAAACCAGCCATATAGATCCATATAGATTCATGGTTTAATTATACCACCCATAGAAAAAATGGTAAGTCATCGCGGATGCTTTGGGGTCTAGGCTTTGTGGCTTTACCACATAGATCTTCCTGATTATATTAACATAAGATATATTAACTATTAGGAAGATATTAACATCGATCCCCATGGATGATCCCAATGTGATATTTCCCGCCTGGGGAAAGTATCCGGTCTCCTCACCATTCAGGCTCCGCAGTGCACCCGAGGCGGGCAGCTCGTTCCAAGCCTCACCAATGGGGACCCATGTGCTGATCATGAAGTGTTCAAAGCCAGGAAATTTCTTGGGGTATGTCACGGGTATTTTGTGCTAGTGACTGCTAGTGGTATCCCAAGAGTCATGAGAGTGGCTTTTTGAAGACTGGTATTTGAAGAGTGGTTTTAGTTGACAAACCTCGCAAAAAGTTGTCTTGGGTTTAAGGTTTTTTGAACATGGCTATGAATATATGGCCTAAACATCCCATTCAAACATCATAAAACATCATAAAACATCCGAAATTCCAACACATCATTAGACATCATTGTAAAATCATTATGTTACATCAAACATCAACCGTCACTTAAGAAATCAAAAACCACTTCCACTTCCGGCCTCGCTGGCACGAGCGATGGCTCCCAAGAGCTTGGCGTCTTTGGGCCAGAGACTTCGACAGGCTTCCACCTTGGAGGTTGTTTGGGATGTGAAACCCCAGAAAATCCCAGGGATAACCGGGATTCATGTCAAATTGTAGTAATATCATCGGGAATATTGTCACTTGTGTTTTTGTTACTGTAAAATCAACGAAAATTTCAATAACCTAAATTATACAGTTGCTATGAATTGCCAAATAAGATGTATAAAAGGGCTACTTTTAAGAGGGAAAATATGATGATCAACCACTGGATTAAACCTGTTCCGCAGTTTTTCAGACAAAGCCATAGGATGACGATCCGGACACTGCTGATTTTGAAGAAATGGAAATGAACTGTTGGGACATATATAACTTATAACGGTATAATGTAAGCCAACAACTGCTGAGGAAACACAAGCCAACGATTGTTGTATAAAGCCACAATTGAGGCCATGATTGGTTGGTTTCTCTGTCATTCCTATGATACATAAAGATATGCTACCCATCATGTCATAATCTTTGGATTGGTCGTGATTATTTGCCAAGCCCAGAAAATGTTGTTGGCCTAAGAGCATGATGTCTTCTTCAATATTGCCTGACACTAGATAGATTTCTCAGTAGTGTCCATATCATGGTCGTTCCATATCCATGTTCACCACTTGTTCATGGCCACTATTCTTGCTTGTAGGTGAACAAAAGAATATATAAGTTAAGCTACAGTAGTTAAGTCTGGGCCAAAAGGGTAGATAACCTATGATCCAATATCCACTATTACTGTAAACCACTGGCCGCTATATACCGCTATTCTTCACTACCAGTATCATAATGTTCATGTTCACCATTTCTGACACGCTGTATATACAGTGGCTGTTATACAAATCACTCACTAGACAATATTGCCTGATGTTAAATTATACACAGGAGTCCGAAGAAGACTGGGTTATCACTTTCCATATGCGCCTGGGTCGGAATTGCGGTATCGTTGCATCTGCAAAAAAGGTATCATTTAGTGCCTTTTCATGACCAGGTCATCTGGGGTTCCCAGGGTGAATTGGACCACCCAACAGTTGCAACATGTTTGGTGATCTCCTCAGGTTCGGTCCCTTAACTTCTGACTGTCACTGAAAACCCCCATCTTTTTCTGTTTGAAACTCAAGCAGCTAAACCAGCTACAAACCAGCTACAAACCCTCCAAAAGCCTCCAGTTTTTGCCAGTGCCAAGTCACCAAGCCCTGTAGCGTGCCGGTGGCCTCGATCAGGCGCTCGTGCCAGGAACGTAGCGCGTCCGAGGCCACGGGGTAACCGGCGGTCTCCTAACCGGGGACGCTACTGGGGTTGGGACTGGGGAGGGGGACTTCACCTGGGAAAATATGGGAAAAATGGATAGTTGGAACCAGTTGGAACCAGTTGGAACCAGTTGGAACTAGAAACTGGTGGGTGTTCAGATTTCTAGTGATATCTGATGTGATCTTACAGAATTTTTACGGATTCCTGGATGTTCTGTGTTCCAAGGCTTAGGTACAACAATCCAGGTGAAAAGTGTCCCCTCTGTTTCAGTCTTCTTGAGAACCCCAACAGGCCTTACATATCCTTACATCTCATTGTGCTTCAACCCAGGTTTCATCATCAATGTTATCCAAATGTCATCCACATGTCCTCCACAAACCTTACGGTGTGTATCGTTTTGTATCGTTTTTCACCCCCTCCAGCGCATCACAACCATCAGCACGACGGTCGGTGCCGGCCAGCGCCATGACGACAGTGACCTGCAGAGGATTCTGCTTGAAGGCTGTCCAGTGGCTGTCCAGTGCAGTGCTTGGATTATCTTAGTTCAAAAATGATCATCTTAGAATCAAAATGAATCAAATGGATCATGAATCATTCTTTTTACAATGACGATCCATCAACCTCGATCATCTTAGACCTGTTGAACTAAATCAACCATTTTCAGCGAAGTGAATCAGTGAACTCGACCATTGAAGTGAAGTCTCAACAGTGGGGGGAAAAAGAAAGGAAAGATCTTCATTTCGTGTTTTCGAGCCACCTGACTTCAGATCCACCGCCAAACAAGGCGTGTCTTAAAAATAGGCTACCCCAACATCGGATGGTTTATCATCTTTTTTCCCAATCAAGATGGCACCGGAAACTCGCCCTCGCACCACTCGCACGCGGCCGAACTTGGTGTCGCACTGGCAGAGTTCCTTTCTCACTCGCCAAAGCCAGGAGATCAAGACCAGCCTTTCCCTCGCAAGGAGAGCAAGACTGATCCCTCTAATATTCCCTAGATATATAGATAGATCTATATATATATTTATCTATCTATCTATCTATTTATTTATCTATCTATCTATCTATTTATTTATATATTTATTTATAGATTTATTTACAGATTTATTTATATATTTATTTATAGATTTATTTATATATTTATTTATAGATTTATTTATATATTTATTTATAGATTTATTTATATATTTATTTATTTATTTATATATTTATTTATATATATATATCTATCTTTGTATTTATATTCCATAATATGGATATCCTATGTGAACCCCAGAAATTCTACATCCAATACATTCCACATGTCACCAGGGTAGGATCCGAAACCTGTGTTGGTCAATGCAGAACCCCATGTCTGTTCAAGTTCTCCATTTGGAGCCATGCCAAATCAGTATCTGACAGATGGCCGGAACATTTGTTTTTGATCATCTGACGTATATAAAAAAGAGACATCGCCCAAATGGTCAACCTGGAACTGACACTGTCAGAAACAGCTTCTCCGCGTTGGATTTTAACAAGCAGATCCAGCCGAAGCTCAAGTCATCTGAGTTGGTGCATCGTATGCTATCAATATCTCCCAAAGACTACCAAAGTACCAATAATACCAGCCCAATACCAGCAGTGCAAACTGCAAACGGAAGCACCTGCTCCATGCACTTCTTGACCCTGGCTTGGAGCTCCTCCGATAGGTGCTCCTGATCAGCTGGAGCGGAGGCTTTCCTACAGGACCCATCAGCTGGAGTTTTCACTTGCAAATGGAGTTTCAAATTGGAACACCAACCCTTTTAACCGGCTCCTGCGCATGGTCGAACCAGCGCAGCACGCGCGCCCACGACAACCTCATGAAAATGACAAGCTGACTATGGAAGTCATTCATTCTGTTTGGTTTGTAAGGAGTTTTCCTCATCCACAGTGATGAAAAAAAAAAGTAGAAATAGGAAATGAAGATGATGGTCATCCTCAATCACAAACCATCAGCCATGCTTCTGAACCCCTCAAACTCATCAAACCTCATCAAAACTCCTCAAAACTCCCATCCATCCGAGTTGTCCCCACAGGTCCAACTTCAGCACATCCGACAGCTCCATCTCCTTCTCACGGACCTCGCGCTCGCGGCCCTCGCGGCCCTCGCGGCCCTCGCGGCCCTCGCGGCCCTTCCGGTAGAGGGCATCCATGGCCATCTCCAAACTCATGGCCAGCAGCTCGCCCTGACGAACACCACGATGAGGCGAAGATCATGGCCCAGAAATGTGGGGTTCCAAGGGGATCTGAAGTTCTCAAGGGGATTGTGTCGAAATCAACGAAAGAAAGCGTCAGTTTACTGGGTCGAATCCGGCCAACCTGCAGTCGACTCGGCGCTTTCTGTTCCTGCCGTGCCGTTCCAAGTGTCAGACTGTGCCTCCAGTGCCTCTCAAAAAAAACATGGTCCGAAGCAATCTGGAAAACCGAAATAGATGATATTAGATGTATTAGATTGACCCACTAATTAATATCATCTAAGGTAGATATTAATTAGATGATCTGAGTGGCTCAAAATGGATCCAACAGCCCTGCCTCCTGAGCCAAGCCCAACGCCTGGAAGAAGTGGGATTTGGGCGAAAGATGGTGAATGATGTGGCTTTGTTTATACGTAAGTAGGGTCGAAGTGCGACAAATATGAGGCCAGAACCATGAAATATAGATTAGATTAGATTGGATTAGAGTAGGTTAGCTTAGGTTAGATTAGGCTAGATTGGAGTAAGATTTAAATTTGGATTTAGATTTAGATTTGGATCAGATTTAGATCTGATTTAGGTTAGATTTATATAGACTGGATTTAGACTAGTTTTTTAGATTAGTTTTTGGATTAGTTTGTTAGATTAGTTTGTTAGGTTAATTTTTAGGATTATTTTTTTAGATTAGTTTTTTGGATTAGATTTAGATTAGATTTGATTGGATTTGATTAGATTGGATTAGATAGAGTAGGTTTGGATGTGCATGCATTGGGATTTCAACAGGAGAAAAGCGGTGTTGAGCATAAGAATTTTGTTGTTTAACCGAACATCAGGGGATCCATCGAGAAATCCTGGGAATCCACCAGCACTAGTCAACTAACTTTTGATAACATAGAATAACAGTAAATTCCATGTAGCAATTCAAGGGACATGTCTCCTCACCTCGATGACACGTCGCATCGGCAACTCCGTAGCCACACGCTCTGGGCCGGGGACAAGATTATATATATATATAATGATGTACATCATGATTTCAGAAAGCACGGGAACATCATTGGGAAGTTGGGATTGCAGGTGTTCCTGGCTCATTTTGGAAACCTTCGTACTTGATATCCCCACCAAATGCAGAAAATACTCCGGTATACCACCGATAGCTCACCCGTCATTGATTTGATCTTCCACACCTAATCATTTTTTAACGATTGCAACCATCATCAATATCACCATCAAATTCACCACCATCACCAGCATCATCATCTTCTTCCTCCTCTCATCCTCATCCTCCATCATTTTTGGTTGGCTGAATCCTCGTGTTTCATGGCGAAGAAACTGTCGACCTGATTGTTCTTTCTCGTTTCACCGAACTGCCGTTCTGATGCCATCGCTCATCTTTGATGTATCTTTGATACCCTGCACCAAAAGAGAAAACTGCCTCTGATATCACTTACCAAGAGCTAAAATCGAGTAATTTTCACTCACCCTTCACCACTTGGTTTACCCAGATCTCTCAACGAAACCAAGCCACTGAGGGCCAACACCATGCTTTTGCGGAGCTCTGGACCAAAACGTTCTACGATGTGATGCTGTTGCAGAAACCAACTTCGAGGTTCCTGCAGTGATGGACCCTGCAAAACCAGTCGTCATATCTGCTGTATTTCACCCAATTTAAATGTTGGTGAGGGCTATATGAATGGGTTGCGTCTTTCTTTCACCCCACGAAAACTGGTCTGGTTC